CTGCACAGAAAAGGCTATTTGGCCTATTTTCTAGCTGACTGAAAAAGAGCTATCCAGCCTAACCTCACTTTCCAGCTCTGGATCTATAATCTTATAGTGTTTACAGCACTTCAAACACATATCCAAGTGCTTTTTAAAGCAATGAGTTTTCTTTCTCTATTATTCTTTCAGTCAGTGAATTTCAAACCCTCACCATCCTCTAGTTGGAAAGTGTTCTCAACTGCTGCATAATCTTTCAACCATTTACTTGAAATTTATGCACACCAGTTTTGATCTCTCTTCAAAGAAAAATAACTATTAACTCTAATTCAGCCTGTCACAAATAGTTTAATTAAATTTCACCAGAGCCTCCCCTGTTTGTAAGGAAACAACTCTAGCCTATTCAAAACAATACTGGGGATAACGTTACAGGGAGAGATTGCTTTTACAAGGCTGTATTCCCTTGAAATTAAAATTGTTTATTTATATGACTTCTTCCAATTTTGGGCAAATAGAAAAAAATAATATTTTGTCATTAGTTTTCTTCAAGGCCAAAGAGAGGATTCACAACCTTTCAGCTCACTTACTCCTTATTTGGGTAAGTTTGGTGTCATCAAGAAAGGAAAGCCAGGAGGGATTTACTGTTGAAAGTAGGAAGAAGAAGAAACAAAGCTGTGCTCTATATTGGTCTTGTTTTAATTTGTAGTGTTTGTTGGGTTTAGAAGAATATAAGTAAGTTTCAGCTATATCAAGAGTATTTATTGACTGAATGAACAAGGATCTCTCACTATTATACCCTTTATACACTATTTACCACTACTTTGTAATTTGCATTAAAATAAAGTACTATGGATACTGGAAATCTGAAATAAAAACAAAGTGCTGGAGAAACTCAGCAGGTCTGCTAGCATTTGTGGAGAGAGAAACAAAGTTAATGTTTTGGGTCATAGAGTCATACATCGTGGAAATAGACCCTTCAGTCCAATTCGTCCGTGCCGACCGAATTTCCCAAACTAAACTAGTCCCACTTACCTGCATTTGGCCCATATCTCTCTAAACCCTTCCTATTCATGTATCTGTTCAAGTGTCTTTTAATATTGTAACTGTACCTGCATCCACTTCCCTAACCTCTGTATGAAAAAGTTATCGGCTAGGTCCCTTTTAAATCTTTCTCCTCTCACCTAGAAATATGGACCCTGGTTTTGAACTCCCCCAGCCTAGGAAAAGGACCTTTGCTGTTCATCTTATTTACGTCCCTCATGATTTTATAAACCTCTATAAGGTCACTTCCTACGCTCCAGTGAAAAAAGGTCCTAGACTGTCCAGCCTCTCCTTATAACTCAAAACTTCCAGTCACAGCAACATGCTGGCAAGTCTTTATTAAACCTTCTTCAATTTAATAATCCTTCTTATAGCAGGGTGACCATAACTACACACTGTACTCCAAAAGTGGCCTCACCATCTTGTACAACCTCAACATGATATCCCAACTCCTGTATTCAATGCTCTGAACATTGAAGGCAACCGTGCTAAATGCCTTCTTAACCATCTTGTCTCCCTGTGACACAACTTTCAAAGAATTATGTACCTGAATCCCTAGGTCTCTCTGTTTTAAAACATTCCCCAGGGCTCTACTATTAACTGTATTAGGCCTGCCCTTGTTCATTTTACCAGGATGTAATACCTCACATTTATCCAAATTAAACTTCATCAGCCATTCCTCAGCCCATTGGCTCAATTGATCACCATCTCTTTGGTGTCATCCACAAATTTACTAATCATGTCTCCTAAACTTGCATTCAAATTATTTGCATGAATGACTAACAGCAGTGGACCCAACGCTGATCCCATGTTAACTGTTGTGATCACTGGGGATATTATGACTGCTGTTAGTCTATATGTGCTGAGGGGCACGGGATTATTCGTAAAATATCAGTTCTGCTTCCAAAACTAGTCAATAACCTTTACTGGAAAACACTTAAGTGGATGTTAAACATGGACATAGCAGGTTCAGCTACTCATAACCAATTAATCAGCCACCACTCTGCATGTTAGTCTGGTATAAAGATGACATTTGGGTAAGATTCCAGAGTGCGGCTATTGCCTGTACAATTACATTGCAGTTAAAATCAGAGCCTTCAGAAGGAAAGATGTAGAAAAACAAAATCTGCTGGTTACCAATCACAAGCTTGTAATTGTCCATTATCTTGAACAGAACACTTAAATGTTGTGTAAATGTCAGCAACCCATGATTTTTAACTGCCTGTAAACGACAGAATGAATTTTCTGCAGAACTAACATTGTGACTTGGAAAGAGTCATAAACACCAGTTTTCAGTGACCAAGATCCGTGCACCAAATTTGAAACTGAAGTTAGTAGCAACTGTTGTCTAGTCAGAAGCAAAAGCCAGAGGTGCAGGAGAGAAATCAGAGACGGAGTGTCAACCTTGTGCTCTAAGTTAAACTGAAAAACAAAAACCATAGTAAGTCTGTAAAGTTGCTGTCATTCTTGAATAAGTATTACTTAAATAAAGTTTCCTGAGTTACCTCCCCAGATTGTTCCCCGAATGGATATAAAGAGTTGAGTTTAGATTGTAACCTAAAACTTACAACTCCCTCATTTTGTTTCCTTCATGATGCTCCTTGAAACTACCTCTTTGATCATCTGTCCTGATACCTCATGAGGCTGATGTTTTTTGCTAAAATGTCTGTGAAACACCGTGGGATATTTTACATTGGCAGTGCTATTTACATGCAAGTTGTTGCTGTTAGTAACAAGTTAAAATTATTAATTGCTTTGTTAGGTAGATAGAGAGAAGCTATTACTTTCGAAGGACAGTTCAAAACAAGGTGCATTTCTTGAAATTAAAACCAAATCAAGGACAATGACAAGAAGCACTTCTCCACAGAAAGTGGTGTAGCAGCCTCCTGGCTGCTAAAACACAGATTACAAATTTGGCCAAACAAGCAAGGGATGCTGGGTACATTGGCCAAGTAAAACTCTGAAATCACAAAACCCATAGACCAGACACAGTGCAAACACAGCAGCCAGGTGCTAGTGATATCAGTATAATGTCAAAGGCAACAATTATTCTGGACAGACATCCTCACCAACATATCCACTAAACAAAGGAGAGCCCAGTTAGAAAGGTACTGCTACACAAAGAAACTAACAGTAGCATGCCAGTTAACTGATTTACTGTTGTTTCAAACTTTTAAGTGTATCTCCCTGATTGGCCAGAATGACATAAAGTTCCAGAAAACCATCTGGAAGGTATAAAAACAGGGTTCACCTGCAGACTTCTCTCTTGGAACTGCTTTCGGAATCTCTGGAATCGTACGAGGCCTTCTGAGGAAATCAGCATGGCAAGAGGCAGAGACCAGCTGACAATCCAAAGAGAAAGTGGAAGAAAGCAGCTTTGCAGAGCCACAGAGAGCGCGACTGCGGAAATTTACAAGAGACTCGGGAAGTATTGTAACCTTAAGGGGCCAAATAGGATTAGGGATAGTATGTTTAGTATTAAAGATTATTGTGATTTTGTTCCTAATAAAGTGGGACTGTTTTGTATTGGTCTGGATTGTGTTCGTATTGATTTGACCAAATTGGTACTCTGCGACACCTGAGCAAATTCATTCATAACGTTCTGGTCGGAGTTGTCTGTAACTTGTTTAAAGAGGAAAGACAACAGTTGACGTTTGGAACATTGCCTCCCCTCTTTAAAAAAAAAAATTGTTTGGCCAAATTAAAAATTCTACACAAACTGTTTTTCTTTGAAGAAAAATATTTGGGGTGGCACAGTGACTCAATGATTAGCACAGCTGCCTCACAGCACCAGAGACCCAGGTTCTATTCCATCCTCAGGTGACCGTCTGTGTAGAGTTTGCACATTCTCTCCATGTCTGCGTGGGTTTCCTCCAGGTGCTCCAGTTTCCTCCCACAGTCCAAAGATATGCAGGTTAAATGGATTGGCCATGCTAAATTGCCCATAGTGTCCAGGGATGTGTCGGCTAGATAGATTAACCATGGGAAATGCAATGTTATAGGGATTGGGTGAGATGCTGTTTGGAGGAGCAGTGTGGACTTGATGGGCCAAATGGCCTACTTCCACACTGTAGGGATTCTATGATTCAATGATTTAAGAGTTACAGTATCAAGGTAGGCAGATTTTAAGATTCAGATCAGCCATGGTCTGAACCTGTGGGACTGGATGGTTTATTCTGATGTAGACAATTATGAATAATAAACTGTTTTAGCTGAAGAACAGCAGATCTGGTCTTAAACAAAATGCCACTTAATAGCCCAAGATTGAAATAATCTGAATCACCACACTCCTAAATCAGCAAACAAAAGAGTGATAAACCAAAACAAAAAAATTGAGGATGCTGGAAAATCTGAAACAGACAAAAATTGGTGAAGGGGGGCAGGGTTTGGCGAGACACTGGATTTCTGGCACCATCTGCAGAGTGAAAAAACAGGGTTAACGTTTTGAGTCCAGAAACTCTTCTTCAGAATAGTGGGTCACAGTCCGTAACCTCACTCTAGGAAGCCCAACGTGGACTCCTGGTCTCAAGGTGATTTCCAGTGCAGACTCCCAGCATCAAGGCAAAACCCAGTGTGGACTCCCTGCTTCAGAAGTACTGTAATGCTGAAATTTTATCTGTATTTGTTTATTTTTCTCATTAATTCCTAAGATTTTGTGTCTTGGTATCTTTGTACCTTCCTTTTTAAGGACTGTAATGCTTATCTTCAAACTTAATTTCTTTCATTTTTCTAATTTATACCTAAGATTTTGTAGGTAGGCATCTTTGCACCTAAGATGGTACAGGTAATGGCGACTTTATATACTTTTTACTGTACTCATATATGCCTGTACATGGGTACATACGACAATATACCTAGTACTAATTCTTTTGTTACACTTCCTAATCCTCTGTCAATAGAGCATGCGCACTTAGTCTTGATGACCTCACCGCTCCCAGGCGTTCCACCTTGGTAAGGGAAGCGCATGCGCGGGGAAGGCTCAGGTGTGTTGCGGCCGTCCGGCGCAGTGCACCTGAGATTATTCTTTTAATCATGAGAATGGTAGCAAGAAAACACCAAATTGTTACTCATGTGATGCGTTATCTTTAAAATGTAAAATTAAAGCCAAAAATAGGTGTTAAACTTCTTTGCTATTAATATGAATTGGGGCTCTGAATGAGTTTACCTGGAAATTCGGTGTCTACCTGTTACCAAGTGATCGGTCAGCTGTAAACCGGAATAAAAATAGAAAGTGCTGGGGGAACTGCCATAAACAGGACTCGGAAGCCGCCCTCACCTTTATTACCGTCTCAGGGATGTTTCTGCAAGTCCTGTCTGAAACCTGACAGTAATCGACAGCACGATTGAGAGTGGATTTAAACGTTTAGAAGGTAGGTTGGTTCACACCCAGTGTCTCCTTTTATGTTCATTTGTTGTAACTTCTACTCTTTTTTTTTCAAATGCAGAAACCCAACAAAATGCCTAAAGACGCCACTCTTTCAGCACCCATATGAACAACTCAGTGAGCCTTTTTAATTGTGAAATGTCATGCATAAGAATCAGATCTCTGGGCACTGCAGCAAAGCTGCTGCTGGAGGAATCTTTATGTTTAGGGATTCAGACAGTGATTTTTTTTTCTTTTGTTTGCAATGCAAATAAGAACATCCAGTGTTTTGTGTTTTCTGTGTATACTTTAAACAAACCACCCTCTTCATCTTCCTGCCTTAGTATTAAAACCTAACCTATGTGAGACAGTATCAAAATGTAGTTACAGACAGCTCTCTAATAAAGCCTGGAATCTTCAACATCTCTAAAACTGATAGTCGGTCATTTCACAAGTTAGGATCTTGCTGTATGCAATTTGGCTAATATGTTACAACAGTACCTATACTTCAATCTAGTCAGAACTGCAGATGCTGGAGCCAGAGATAACACAGTGTGGAGCTGGAGGAACACAGCAGGCCAGGCAGCATTAGAGGAGCAGGAAAGTTGATGTTTTGGATCAACTTTCCTGCTCCTCTGATGCTGCCTGGCCTGCTGTGTTTCTCCAGCTCCACACTGTGTTGTCTCTGACTCCAACTCCAACATCTGCAGTTCTTGCTATCTCAGGGTAATGGCATGAACTATTTTTTTTCAAACTCAGCTAGTTGCAATCATCTGACATGCATTGCACAAAGGGTGATGAAAGCAGATATAATAACTTTTGAGAACCAAAATAATCCTGAGCTACAGGGAAAGACAAGGCAAGCGGGCTAACTAACAGCTTATTCAGAGAGCTGCTATAGGTACAATGTGGTGTATGCACCCCAACTTGTATGATTACAGATAAATAATTACTTTGCATCAGAATTTGTAGAAGAATAGTGAGGTCAACATGCCACACATTCCAAGGATACTATTCTTCAATTATGAACAGGGGCTGAAAAATAACATAAGCAAGGGAACTGTAATCATTAAATAACATAAGCAAGAGGCCTGGCTTCAAGTCTCACCTACTCCCTAAATGTGTAACATCATCTCTAAACAGGTTGATTAGAAACCATCTGTCACAGCATTGATGGAAAATTATCTTCTACAACACTTCAGGATTTTTGGGGAAGATTATCAATTTCTGTAGAATGGAACAGTACAATGTTTTATAGTACGTAATGCACTCCATGGACAAAGGCATTATGCTGTGTGCTCAGTAAAATGTTACTTTCATTACCCAAGAATGTACCTCACAAAAATACTCTTGTATGGATATCACAGACTAGGTTTCCATTTCAACAACTCTGACCATTAGAAAGAACTAGACTGGCAAACATCATTATTATGTGGACCTTGATGCTGTCCAGTTGGACATTCTTTGGCAGGAGAGAATAAACTTTCCATTCATCTGAACTTGATCAAAAAGGCTTTCAAGAAGATGATGTCCAGGATGTCAAAAGTTCTTTACAGGTAATTAAATATTTTTGAAGTGAAGTCAATGCTGCAACAGAGGAAACAATAGCCAACTTGCACACAGCAAACAGCAGAACAACAATGGCCAAATAATTTGTTGTAGTCATTTTGGTTCAGATCTAAATATTGGCGAGGACATTGCTGAGAATGCTCCTATACTTCTGCGAAGTTGCAGTTTGGGATCTTTTGTAAATACTTGGAAAGGCAGATGGGGCATTGGTTTAGAATCTCATTTGAAAGATGGAACCTCTGACAATGTAGCACTTCTTCATACTGCACTAAAGTGCAAACCTCCAACGTATACTTTAGATTGGAGCCTTACCCCATGATTTTCTGATTCAGGCAAGAGTACTACCACTGAAAAGGTAAAGAAAACATGCTGGGCTGAATTGCTATTCTCCCATTTACAACAGTAAATGGGGGTCAATTAATGACCTGCATAATACAATGTAATTTGTTGATGACATATTGACTTTTTCTTCTGTACAGTGAATCAGTCCGTAAAAGAAAATAAAAGCTACAGATAAAACCCAGGGTACTTAACCAAATCCAATTTTTTTTTTTTCAAGTCAATACACAACCAAGGATATGCTAGTTGGTGCTACAGGATAGTTTCTCATCCAAGTGATCTGCCACAGTGGCTTTATAAAGGTTTATTTCTCCTAATCAATGGCAGTTTCCAAAGTAAATTAAGTACAGCTTTAGATTTACTTATTTTCACAATGCCACAAGCTACTGCAGAAAAACTAAATAGCTTGAAGTATAACAGAAGGAACAGGAAAGTTGATGTTTCAGTTCAGGATCCTTCTTCAGAAAATGTTGTGTTCCTCCAGCTCCACACTGTGTTGTCTTGCCATTACCCTTGTGCTTTTACCAATTATTAAACCTTGGCTGTTGTGCCACTAGAAAAAAGTTTCGTGCTATTTTATCACTTTCACTTCATTAATTTGAAGTCTCTTTTGATTATTTTTGACCTGGCAGCAGTGCAGGAAGGGAAATTGTAATTTCCTTAAATTGTCTGTGGAATCTATTGATTTTAAGAATGTTTGAAATGGGTTTTAAGAGTTTCCATCAATTGTAATTTTCTTGGATAAGTTATGTGACTCGGTAATGCTTGATCTGCAAGAAGATCCAACTAGAAGGGAATTGAGGAGGGGGCTGTGTGATGGGCTGACACAAAGGATGATACAAACAGAGAAGCTGGAGGGTGAAGGAGATTAGCACGAAGTTACTAGACAAAAATAAAACGGACAGTAGTAGGAAAAGGAGCACAATTATTACGAGGAGCAGAAGCAAATTACTGTCAGGAAGGGCTCAGCTTTTCTACTTAACAGAAAAGAGACAAGTTCTTCCCGACTAAAAACAACTAAAACCTAGAAAACTGTGGTGGTAATTCTGACTCTAAAGAGCTGAGTTTTCCAAGGAGTATCCAAATTTTGAATCTAATTGTTATTGATTGATCAGTTGAAAAGGAAAACTAAACCATTAGGACTGTCATTACCTGAGGGAAAGGGGGTTCACAGAATTGTGTGTTGATGATAATTGCACCTATGAAACAGAAGTTCACTTAGTTCAGTTGGCAAGACAGCTGGTTTGCAATGCAACAACAAAGGTTTAATTCCTGTACTGGCTGAGGTCAACTTGAAGATCGTGCCTTCTCAACATTGGCCCATCGCCTGAAGCGTTGTGACCATCAGGTAAAATCACCACCAGTCATCCTTCTCTCTGAGACAAGTGCCCTGTGATCCTCTGCAACATGATCTGTGAAACACTGAGGTGAAAGCTGATGTTGGATAGAGTTCCTGATTCCCATCCTGTGGGACTGAAACTGGTTTGAAAGGCAAGTCAGACATGATTGACCTTTATCAGTGTATAAAATCCATGAGGGTAGACAGGCCCTTGGTTTTAGGTCTCATCTAAAAATGGAAGTTCCAACGGTATGAAGTCAGAATCTCTGCTTTGATTGTTTAAATCCTTGGAGTGGAATTTGAGCTATAACTTTCTGACTCCTTGATTAAAAGTGCTGCCCACTGAGCCAAGGTACAATATTTTTCCATCAAATGACTCTCAATTTCCTGGTAAATCGCAATTGTTTATTGCTCAATAAACCCGAGGTGATTGCATCAGTTAAAGATCTTGCAGCATGTTTTTGCATGTGAACAACTAAACTGAGCAAACACACCAGGTTTACAGCCAAACCTTGGAAAATATTGAAGCAGTATAAATGTTATAACTAATTTTCTGGCTCAGGAAATGATTTCAAACCTGCCATTCTGATGTGGAAAATGTACATAAAAATACATGCTTTGAACTGAACATCTGGCTTCAGTTCAAGTCAGTGGAATGATAGGAAGCCACGCTACACCCAGTGTCACGCCCCTCTACATCCCAATCAATAACTAACTAAAACTGCTGCCACGTATTCCCTTCTACATATTACATTGAGTAAACACGTGAAGCGTGCTTTGAAGGGTTCTTCATCTAGGATTTGAAATGACCTGATGAACACTTGAATCTGTCTATGGCTTTCGATATCATTTGAAACTCTGAGCTGTTACAGTTCCACCATAACTTGGTGAGGACACTCTCATCAAGTCACCCAACACTGAAGTTAACACCCACAAAAATATGGTGCTGTTCTTGATGTGTAACCTCCTACAGTCCTATATGCCTTTGTGATATTTGTGCTCCTGCAGCTTTGGGCTTTGGCGTGAAGTGCAACTTTGGTGTAGTGGTAGTGTCCTGACCTCTGAGTCTGGAGGCCTAGGTTCAAGACCCATCTGCCCCAGAGGTGTGTAATGATATCTCTGAACAGTTTGGTTGGGAAATATCTAACAATAGGAAGCATTACAGTTCTGTTCAATACTGTTGTCACCTTGTTGCCACATCTACCTTGTCTAATGATAATTAAAGTTGAAGTTCAACTCAAGCTAGGTTGTTGTACTTTTCTAATATGTATGACTCACTGCCACATGGAGCAATGGGATGCATGCTGAGTATTTTCATTTTTAAAAGTATAAACTAAAGATTAAAAATTGTTCTTTGAGGTAAATTCCAAAAATGAATCATTATAGCACCAAGCAAAATTCTATGCTCCATGTGAGCATTCTGGAAGTAACCGGCCATCCTCAACAAACTTGAACTCATTGAGAGCTTTACTTTTCGCATTCTGCCTCCACATTAACCCCTGTTCACCCATCACTTCTGCCACTGATTGATGTACTTTGATTTCCAGTCTGGTAATGTCTCAATTATTGTAATTATTTTGCTTTTCAAACTGCCTGCCCCTCCCTGTCTCCTTAACTTCCTCTAGCACTACAACCTGAGTTCTTGGCACTCCTCCAATTCTGACCCCTACCATTTGTCTGATTTTAAACACTATCATTGACCACCAGGCCTTCAGTAAATTAGAAGCCAAGCTCTGTAATTTGGTCCTTTAAAGTACCTTGGCTTTCTAGCTTTCTTCTTTTAGACGCTTCTTTAAACTTATCTGTTTGGCCAAGCCTGTAGTTTTAAAAAAAAAAATTTGCCTTGCTATTTCCCTATTTGTCTCAATGTCAAATTTTGCCTCCTGATAATTTGTCATTTTAATGCATCTTGGGAGGTTTTACTGCACCGCTTAATGTAAGTTTTTATAATTTATGTAATTTTAATGTACCTGATAGAAAGGGCCTTCTGAAAGTTTGACGCAGGATTGATTTTTCTTTTCCCTTATGTACACAGATGAACAACAGTGAGAGCCCGATATTTGCAGTAGTCACTCCAGTCAACTTGCTCACAACATTTCTTGTTTTGCCCATGGCAAGTACAAACAATTCCAAGAATTTGAGCATGCCCCTGGAGCTGTCTGCCAAAAACTCAAGTACAGAGGAGCAGAGGATTTTCTTGGAGACTCCAGCAGCACAGGCAATCTCTGGGATATTTGTTTGGGCAGCACTGATTGTGACATTTCACCAGGTGAGATTGAACATATGATTTAAGAGCAAAGGTGGCATCTATTAGCACTAATCACGGCTTCTTTGACCAAACCAAATCAGAAACCGACTTTCATGGGAAACTCTGGGCCAAAAGGATTGAGCCTGTTTGAAGAAGATTAGTGGTAGGGAGGGATTTGAAATTAAAGGCTAGGTGCTTTCTTTCTCCCACCCACAAATAATTTCTCCTCTACACCTATTCGGCAGTTATTTTAATTGAATAATGTATTTCTAAAACTTATTATTGACCTGTTGTTCCAGTGCCATGATGATGAAGGGAACTCCTGAGGCTTCTAAGGTTCTGTGTGTGTTTTTTTCCATTAATCAGTAACTCATGGGATTGTATTTTCCAGGGGTGTGTGTGTTTCATTGTTTGCCTTCTTGATATGGTTGTAGTTCAGATCAGGATGCATAATCTATCATTCGCAGAGGCAGGCAATGTCTGCTGTTACAGGAAGGATGTAATTGTTGCATGGCCTGAAGACCAAAGTGTCCTGAATATGACATTTACTATGAATGTCAGTTGTGTTGATTGAATTATGTTTTATAAAAACACATCTGCAATTTATAAAAATACAGATTTGCAGATGACACAAAAATAGGTGGAAAGGGTAGTTGCAAAAGGGATACAGTTTACGGATAGGTTATTTAAGAGAGCAAAACGTTGGCAAATGGAGTATAGTGTGGGAAAATATGAAACTTCTTCATTTTAGAAGGGAGAACAAAAAAAAGGTATTATTTATATAGGGAAAAACTACAAAAAGCTGCAACACAAAGGGACATGGGGGTACTTGTGCACAGACCAAAAAGCTAGCGCACAAGTAATCAGGAAGGGTAATGGAATGTTGGCTCTTATTTCAAAGTGGGGGGGCAGTGTCAGAGTATAGGAATAGGGAAGTCTTAGTGCAACTGTACAAGGTTCTGGTGAGACCACATCTGGAATTTTGTGAACAGTTTTGGTCCCTTTATTTAAGAAAAGATATCATTTCATTGGAGGCAGTTCAGAGAAAATTCACTCGGATTATACCTGGTATGGAGGGATTGTCTTATGACGAAAGGTTGGACAGGTTGGGACTCACTGAAGTTTAGAAGAGTGAGAGGTGATCTCATTGAAACATATAGAATTCTTAAGGGTCTTGACAGAGTGAATCCCAAGAGGTTATGTCCCCTCACGGGAGAGTCTAAGACTAAAGATCATGGTCTCCAAATAAAGGGATGCCAATTTAAGTCTGAGATAAGGTGGAATTTCTTCTGAGTCACGGATTTGTACAGCACAGAAACAGACCCTTCAGTCCAACTCATCCATGCTGAACAGATATCATAAATTAGTCATTGTGGCTCAGTGGTTAGCACTGCTGCCTCACAGCACCAGAGACCCGGATTTGATTCCACCCTTGGGTGACTGTGCAAACTCCATATAGACAGTCACCCCTTGTATGTGTGGGTTTCCTCAGGGAGCTCCAGTTTCCTCCCACAGTCCAAAGATGTGCAAGTTAGGTGGATTGACCATGCTAAATTGCTCAGTGTCCAGGGATGTGCAGGCTATAGGTGGATTAGCCATGGGAAATGCAGGGTTACAGAGGTATAGTGGGGATGGGGGAATCTGGGTGGGATGTTCTTCAGAGGGTCAATGTGGACTCAAATGGCCTGCTTTCACACCATAGGGATTCTGTGAAATTTAGTTCCATGTACCCTTTCGGATGCCTTTTAAAAGTCATAATTGTGCTAGCCTCCACCACTTCCTTTGACAGCTCATTCCATACATGTACCACCATCTGTGGGGAAAAAGTTGCCCCTTAGGTCCCTTTGATATCTTTTCCCCTCACTTTAAACCTGTGCACTTTAAACTTATGCCCTGTAGTTTTGGACTCCCCCACCCTGGGCAAAAGACCTTGTCTACTTGCCCTATCCATGCGCCTCAAGATTTTATAAACCTCTATAAGGTCACCCCTCAGCCTCCGATGCTCCAGGGAAAATAACCCCAGCCTATTCAGCCCCTCCTTATAGCTCAAACCCTCCAAACCAGCAACATCCTTGTAAATCTTTTTTGCACCCTTTCAAGCTTCACAACATCTTTCCTATAGCAGGGAGACCAGAACTGAATGCAGTATTCCAAAAGTGACCTAACCGATGTCCTGTACAGCCGCAATATGACATCCCAACTCCTGTACTCAATGGACTGACCAATAAAGGCAAGTGTATCAAATGCCACCTTCACCACCCTGTCTACTTGTGATTCCGCTTCCAAGGAATTATGAACCTGCACCCCAAGTTCTCTTTGTTTGGCAATACTCTTCTCTCAGGGTTGAATGTCTTTGGAACTCCTTTACACAGAGAGCTGTGGGGACAGAATCTTTGTGTAATCAAGATAGATCCTTGATCAGTAGGGGAATTAAGGGTAATGAGGAAATGGCAGGAAAGTGGATGTGAGCAATGTCAAATTTGCCCCAATCTCACTTTCACAGACATTCCAAACCATTGCTGCAATTTAGAAAAAAAAATCCTCATCTCCCTTCTGGAATTTGTCTCAAATCCCTGGCATTGTTTTGAAGAGAGACTTCTGATGACCTGGTTAACATTCTTCACAGAGCCAACATCGAAAGGTTCAGGTTATTTTTTAATTAGTTTGTGAGGACACCAAGTGTTTTGGTTGTTCCAATAATAAACTAAGTTGTATTCAAAAGCAATTCCTTGTTCATGGGATGTTTTTCCAACTTAAATTTTTTGTTTACACACATTGTTAATGAACACAGGCTCTGACCTGGCTACAGGATGCCACACTCGCAACCAGATAGGTTGCTTTGTTTAATTGTCCTAATCGAGAAGAAAAGAAGACCAATTTGGATAAAGTGCTGTCAGGTGGCCTTCAGAAAAGAGGGATGAACATAAATGGTTGTTGGTGATTGAGAAATACATTTGTTTCTATGCTGTAAAAACAGCAATCTGCTTTTATGAGCAACTGAAAGATTTTTGATATCAGGTGTGAATCAGTTGGATTTAATGTATGAAGGATACAATGTTTTAATTTCCATTTCTTTAAATTTCACCTCTCAACAGATTTATCAGCACCTCCGACACTATAGCTCACCCAACGAGCAGCGCTACATTCTCCGAATCCTTTTCATCGTTCCCATCTATGCTTTCGACTCCTGGCTAAGCTTGCTTTTGATCAGTAATGATCAGTACTATGTTTACTTTGACTCTGTGCGAGATTGTTATGAAGGTGAGTAACCATTGTGTTAATGGAAATTAGCAATTTTTTGATATTAGATTTTAACCTTTTGAGAAGGAATCATTCTAATAATATAATAAAGCCTAAGTGGTCAAACCTATTGGCCATTCTATCAGAGCATCATACTTCCTGTCTCTTCTCTTTCCTCCCTCTGTCAGCCAAACTTGTGGAGACAAAAGTAGAAATTGCTAGTGAAACTCAGCAGGTCTATGGGAAGAAAGTATAGTTAACGGATAGAGTTGAGTGACTGTTGTCAGAACAGAAAGGTCACTGGACTTGAAACATTAACATTGCTTTCTCTCCACAGATGCTGCCAGATCTGCTGAGTTTCGCCAGCAATTTCTGTTTTAGTTTCAGTTCTCCAGCATCTGCAGTTCTTTGTTTTATTCAGATTTAGTGAGAACCTGCTCCACAATAAATGTGGGAAGTGGGTGGGTCATAAGGATCAACATACGAATTCATAATAGTGTTGGGCTGGGACTGTTAGAGGCAGGAAGTCATGTGATGAGATCATCAGGAATATGTATGACCAGAATTGATACCTGTGAATTAATGCTCCAACTGAACACCCTTCTGACCCACTTAAGAAGATGTCAAGAGCCAACCACATTGTAAATTAGAGTCAGTTGAAAGATGTTGATGAACCTACTGTGTTAATACTGAAACCAGGTGCCTTTTATGGTCGCTTTTTCTAGTGCCATGCCTTTAAATAGCCACCAATGTCTGGTTTTAAAACTTGCTGTGGTAGCATTTTAATTCATACGTTCTTGGATTAAGGCTCCTGTAATGTACAGAATTATTTCCTGGATTCTCTTTGTTGTACCAATTTTTTGGCAGGTTCTTTGTGGTTAATTGTGCTGTGTAAGTTGTAAACTGTTATGCTGAATACAGGGAAGGTGAAGTAAATATAGTCACTGTTTATTTATGTTGAAATCCCCTTGGAGAATATCCACAGTTGTCAGTTTCTTCAAAAGAATTAAGAACTATTTTGCATTCTTTCTACCCCCACCCTGTGGAAGGTTATGAAAAATGCTTGATTCACGTGTTACAGACTGAGACCAGAGTGTTTCTCTTTCTGTTAATCTGGATGAACACTGGAAAATAGCTGGAAATCTACAAACGCTTCATGTACTTGGAAAAAGCCTTCTACACAACTGGTAGAAATAGACCTCTTCAAACTCTTTGCGTTGGTAGATCTTCAAAACATTACATCTGAATCTGGCTTATGTATTTGCAAGCCAGCAAAGATACTGGGTTAATTAAACTTCTGCAGTGATTTGTTCTTTCAATGAAAGATTTGAAGGTTGTTTGCGGGTCAGTTGGTGCTGAAAGTTAGTATGAGAAAATTATCTAGGTTATTGCTTTGACAATTTCGGAGAACAGTAACTTGTATAATTGCTGTTGTACTGAGGATTTTTCATTTACAGCTTTGTTAACAAAATGTCTTTTTATTCATTGGATATGTGCATTTGCTGGCAACTGCATCATTTAATGCCCATCCCTAATTGGGTGTGAGAAGGTTATGGTGAGTGGCATTCTTAAACTGCTGCAAGCTTGTGTTTGTATGCTGTTACGTTTTACATAGTGCTGTCACATTTTAAAAAAAAATGGAAGATTTTGACTCAGCAATGAAGTAGTAATGGTCATGTGTTTCCAAGTTGGAGAACTTGAGATGGTGGCATTTCCATTTGCCAGCTGTTTTTTTCCTTGCAGCAAAGGTCACAAATTTGGAAAGTGCTCTCCAAGTTGCTGCAGTGTTTCATGTAAATACTGCTGCTGCTGCCATGGACTACTAATGGAAGGATTAAATTTATGCAGTGACAGATGGGCTGTCGTTCAAGTAAGCTGTTTGCCCTGGATCGTGTTGAGCATCTTCAGTATTGACGGGGCTGATTCATACTACTGACATGTGCTTTGTCTAAGGCTTTGGGGAGTCAGAAGATGAGTTACTAGTTGCAGAATATGCACCCACTGACAGTGATTAAGTGGCTGATCCAGTTAAGTTTCTGAGGGGCTCTTGAACCACAGTAATAGTATCCCCATTTCTGGCTCAGGAGGCCTGGTTTCAGGTCAGAGTTTCAGAACATCTTTGAACAGGTTGATTTAAAAAAAAACTCTGGTTAATGCTGTCATGCAAGGATGACAATGCTATTGAGCATCAAGGGGTGTGATCATTGTGTTGCAATTGTGACATTAGTATTATTTGCCATTTATTAGCACTAATCTGGATGTTATCCAGATCGTGCTGCATATGAGCAGAAGTTGCTTCATTATCTAAGGAGTTGCAAGTGCAATCAAGAGTGAATATTCCCATTCCTAATTTTATGTTGGTTGAAAGTCTTTGAAACTTGTTGCATCTCACCTCTGCGCCTGGTCAGCATCTTGTTTCTCTCATCGTTTTTATCTAGCTTTCTCTTAAATGCATCCAATAAGGATTGAATGAACTGGACTTGAACTCCTTTTGCTAATTTGAGCAATACTCAAAACAAAGTTAATACCTTAAGCAGATTACGCCAACATGCACTAAATCTTTTGCCGTTGTGCTTGCATTACAAGTAGCTTTCCTTTTTGCTGCTGATATTTGCTGAATGGTAAAAAAAATAATGAACTTTGTGTGACACAGACCACAGGTTCAGATTCCACGTTACTTTCATCTCTGTCATAAGGTAGTTAACCTGGAAGAGCAGGTTCACTTTCTGGGTGTGTCCTACACAAACACAAAATATCATGATCTGTGTTCAGGCTTCGGTGTGTGAAGAATTCTATTTGTGTTCCTGTTCACAACTCCAGAAGTACTTCATTAGGTTGTGAAGTACTTCTGGACATCCTGAAGTGTGATACCAATTTGCATAGCAAGCTCCCACAATCAGCAATATGAGAATGACTTTATGATCTTTTATTCATATTTGAAGGATTAACATTGGTTAAGACAAACTCCCTTCGTAAGTGAAATATGGTGTGTTTTTAAGGGTGTCTACATTGCAACAGCGACTCAGTTCAGAAGCATTGAACTGGCTGTAAAACACTTTGGAATATCTGAGGTAGGAAGGCACTTTATAAATATAAGTTCTTATTTCTAAAACCTTAACTGGTCTAAATGCTGTGCTAGCCATTTTGTTTGAAACCATGGCAAGCACACTGCTACATGTGAAAGGGCAAAAAATACAGACATACCACAAAACTTAAAGAACACTCATTCTCTGCCTTAATGTTTCAGACGTGATCCTTCAGTGTTCCAAGCAAAGATATCAAGCAAACCCATTTCTTCACCTGTTGATTAACCATCTATGGCTTACAGTGTTGCTATAAATGAGATGGCATGCATTAGAGTCGGTGGGGGGTACAGTTAAATCTTCCAATTTAACTCAGCTAACTCAGGATAGATAAGGAATCAAAACTGAAAAGGTATAGCCTTACTCCACTGGACTTAATCACTGCTGCAACAACCTACATTCTTAATAACACCTTTAATGCAATAAAATATCCTGTTGAGCATCACAAATGTATTATCAAAACTAATTTATCATTTAATAAGGCCATGTTGGGATAGGTAGCTTTTTAAGGAACATCAGAAAGGAAGAGAGAGTGAAGCAGAGAAATTTGTGGAGAAAATTCTAAAGCTTGCACCCTAGGTAGTTGACAGCATGGCTACCAGTGATGGATCAGAAGAAGTCAGGGGCCTCACAAGGCCAATGCCATCAATGGATCTAGATGATCTGACTAATTATTTGGATCTAAGGCCATTTAGGTGAATGAATAGTTGTCTTGGTGATGCAAGGCCAGATAGCTTGTGAAGTTAGGTATGTTTACTGCTGGAAGATGAAGTCTGGTATCTCAAAGCAATTCAGTCTAGGTTTTGTTCCTTCAAGGTTGGTCAAAGAGGATTACTAACATGGGTGGAAAGCAAAGGGCCCGGGACTGTATGCACATGAGTACTAATAATAGCAATATACGAATGGCAGACTTGCACTCAATGCTTAGAGAAGACCTGGGATATGCAGAGGAACTTGATTTCTAATTAGAGCCATCTCCCGGGACCCATCCTTACCTCCATAGAAGTGTATCTTTATAAGCAACGTGTCGATTTAACTTTCGAGATAATTGGGTGCATAAATGCTTCATAAATTTTAATTACTGAATCAGTTGGAACCTGTGCAGTCTGGGGTTTGCTTTCCGACATGCAAGATTGGGTTTCCTCTGCTAGTTTTGTCTCTGAATTATGTATGAATATACATCTGTTAGGTTTCCCAATCTGTGGACTTTGAAGTGTGTTATCTCCAGTGTCAGATTGAGAAACTAAATTGCAGCCGCGGTTTGCAAGAGCAAAGCTTGAGTGTGTTATTTCAACCAAAGCTAACTGTTTCTTTAAGTGCTGCGGTGAATCGAGGTCTCCAAATGCACCCCTAGTGATCTCATACAATAAGCTGACAGTTACAAATGACACGCTTCCAGAATAAACAGTAATTTATCAAGCAATAGTATTTTGCCAAATTACTTGATAATCAATAATGATCAGATTTATTCTACTGACCAGCTCTGGAGAATTGTGCAGTTTCTACCTGATAAAGAAAACACTGATTCCATAGAGCTTTGTATTTCCTCCCCACCCCCTCCCAGAGCAGAGCTGTTTTGGAAGATTCCACTTATAGACACTCTGATTAGGAACAAAACATATGGATCTTGTAAGGCAGTATTTCTCCTCAAAGTACTTTATATAAAGTAGTCCAACTTAACAACTTAGCATAGCAACCCTCCCATCGTTCATTAATTGTCAATTAAGTTTGAATGCAGTTCTCTTGGCTTAATAAATTAATCCAAAAGCAGTCATGTAATGTGTTCTCTGCAGCCAGATGCTAGGATCCAGTACTAATGCTCTTCATTACTCCGATGGCAATCGTACAATGTTTTGCTGTGTACTACAGCAGTGTTCTCTTTATAAGGTCACTTTAGCAGGGGCTTAGTTGCCTACATGCTTATCAACGGTGGAGATTAAATCAGACTGACTCTAAATAGTAGCAGGATCAGATTAGAGATTATTGAGGTAGATATCTGTTTGTTTGCTGAGGGGGTGGAGTGAAGGGAAAGAAGGAAGGTGAATCTCCAATTAAATTTTTCTTGATGTACAGTGTATCACCAATCTTGAAACATGGATTGTCCAAGTATTCTCTCACTTAACCTGAGGTTTCTGTTTGTCAATCATTGCGCGATATGAAATCAATTCAGGTTTTTCATGGGGAAGGAAAGCCGGAGAGTGAAATTTTCTGTCCCTTCACATATCCATCATTCCAAGTTGAGTTGGAATTGGTGTATGCATAAAACCAATATCTATAAAAACATGCATTTATATTGATCATTTAAGGCACTAAGTCATCCCAGGGGGTTTCACAGGTTACCATGTAGAAGCTGACATGAAGCAAGCTGATGTAAATGCAAGGAAGTGATATCAATCAGAGCTTCTGCTTCCCTTATAAACGTTTGCAGAATACAGACCTGGTCTGTGATGTCAAAACAACTGAAGCAGAGTAGGAATTTTAAAAGGCTTTTAAAGGAGGAGGGAGAGTGAGAAAGGTGGAGAGCAATAGGAGGGGAATTTCAGAGTTTACACTGTAGGCAGCAGAAGACATGACCTTGAAGTGATGGGAACTAGGAATGTACAAGAGACCAAAACCTGAGGAGCACAGACCCTAAAGGATTGTAATGCTAGAGGATATTACAGGAAATAATTAAATACAAAAAATGAGAATTCAAAATTTGTGGCATTGTCAGAATAGGTGCAAGTATAAATCAACAAGCTTAGGAATACTGGGTGAACAGAAGTTGATGTCAGTTAAGGTATAGTTGAGAGAAGTTCTGTTAAACAAGTTTTTGCTAATTGAGTTTCTTTGATTCCCAGCACTTGAACACCAATGTTGGAGATTTTTGTGTGACAACTTCACAAATCACTGAGAGGGTTAAGTGATATTGCCTGTGTTTCCATGTAAATATTTGTTTATGTAATTGGAAACATCACCTGTTGGAGCTTGCTTTCACACACCAGTCAGGTTAGGTTTCTAACGCTTGGTTTGTGTTTGCATTATACATTGACGTGTACCTGTTGTGGTTTCTTTTGGTCTATTAAACAACAAATAACCTGCAACATGTAGTTAGATTGTTGTGTTAAAGACAATTGTAAAAACAAATTGGCAATGCAAAGGTTTGTAGTTATAACGTCCAGCTTAAAAATGTTGTGACTTCGTAATGTTCATTAGCTCATGATGTCTCTATACTGAATAGAAATTTCGTGATGTACTGTTTTTGGTGCAGAACCAGTGATTGACTTGTTGTAAGGATCATAAGCACATGAATTAACAGTGATTATTTTTATCAAGTGCAGAAAATCATTAAGTTTCAAACAATTTGAAGAACCCCATTATCTTGCCTCTCCCTACCTTCCCTGGCATTTCCTTCTCCTCTACCTCCCTGGATGAAATTGTCTTCCTTTTTATTAGAAATTTCTGCAGCAAGGTGTAATGAGCAGAGATAGTTGCAATCTAAGTTACTTGCAGAAAAGTGATGCCCAAGTGTGACTGACAGGGGAATTACTCAATTTCCATTCTGACTAAGAATAGTTGTAGCACTGCATGCAGACATAAAGCTTTTGCACTAAACGAACTTAACATTTCCAGTCTCCTTCCTTTGAACATGGACTTAGAGCACACACCAACTTGAGACAGATGAAATTACAAATCTTACTGGGACATAGCTAGCCCTGGAGGTGCACCACTCCAGCTGGGGTTGAATATAATGTGTGGATCAATTTGCGGGAATAACAGCAACTTGTATTACAACTATGTGTTTTTCCTTTAACATAGTCATAAGGCTCTTCACAGGTAGGTTATCAAGCAAAATTTGACTTTGAACCATACAAGGAGAAATGTGATCAGGACATTAAAAATTTTGTTCAAAGGTGAATATTTTGAGGAGTGCCTTCGAAAAGGAGAAGGATGTGTAGAGATCTGACAAAGAAATTCAATAGCTTAGTGTCTAGGCAGCTGAAGGCACCACCATGCATGGTGGAGGAAAGGAACATGCCTCTACTGCTCATGACTTGATGGAGTTGATCTTGGATCTAGACATGCTGTTTCAACAGAGCAAGAGACCAACAACTTTCAAGAAGTCCCTATAGTCACTTTGATCTCAGCAGCTCTTCAGTAACTATAGATACAGCTGTGTTTCTGTTTCACAGTCCCACCGAAAACTCCAGTGACATGTAACCAGTGTCACAGATTGATGCCGTGCTCCTTTTGAATAAAAAGACATCCTGCCTGGACATTCTTCCTTCAGTTTGAGTGGCTTCTTGGCATTCTTTTCACCACTTATATCTCCCAGCTGCTAGAGTACAGAGCAGAGTTTTCTGGATATTGCATTACACTTACAAATCTGTGTACCACAGCTGGTTTCCTTATTCCATTGAATTCCTTAATTCTACAAATCAGCCTGCAGATTAGAATGCTCCAGCAATAGTTCTTTAACAAGCAATTTCTTAATTTGGCGGAGGTCAAAAATCTCATAACACCGGGTTATAGTCCAATTGGTTTGTTTGAAAACACTAGATTTTGAAGCTGTGCTCCTTCTTCAGGTGTAGTGTGCAAACTTCTTTATGTTCAAACATACCAGCAGATAGCCCAGTATAGGTCTCTTGTGTTGAAGAGATTTAGTAATGTTGGATTAAGTCTCTGGAGTTCTTTGATCATCCAATTGAACTCTTCTATTCCAATTCTCCTGGATCTCTTGACTTCAAGCAAGACCAAACCTCGAGATATGGCAGAAGGTATATTTTATACCTTCCGTGCTTCTACTCCAATCTACAACACAATGTTATTCATAAGAACCCTATTCCGATCATGCTGCTGTTGAGAGTTTCACAGAAGGTCCACGTTCTTTGGACCCCATTGGTCTTCCAGATGAAGTGAATTACTGTAATGTACCACAGCGCCAGAACTTTGTCTTTCCAGGTACTGATGGTTTGCCACCTGAGGTTCACCCTTCAGTGACTCCTCTTCAGTGCCTTCAGGAGTATGCCTTGGTTCCAGCAATAGTGCCAGACTACATGTCTAGCTGGTTCAAGATTCTGCCTTCCTATCAGCAGATATTGAACCACCCCTAATGATCTATCCTCCTTGGAGATGTCCTGAAAAAGACAGTAAAGAAAAAGCTTGAGTGGTGGGTTGGTGGGAGTGACAGAAGTTTTAGCAGCAAAATGTTAGATTCGTTAATGATTAAACAATATGATTTTGTAGGGACAGAATGAAAGACTTGGTAGATGAGATGGGGGGTGAAATGTGTAGGCTAATGGGTGAATCATAATATGGTAACAAATAGTATCCATAATCTGCAATGCCTATTGGCATGGGGGCAAGGGAACATCTGCAACTAAGACTGAACCTTCAGGATTCTACCCACTTAAAGTATAAAAAAGTAAAGTTGTCATAATCTTAGATGATAGGACTGCTTTCTCATGAAAATGGGAGGGTCACCACATTTCAGGTGAGGGATGAAGTTGTGAGGAGAGTTCTTCAAGGAAACCTCAGCCAATGTGAGAATTGAACCTATGCTGTTGCCATCACTCTGCATAACAAACCAGCTGTCCAGCCAACTAAGCTAACTGATCCCCAGTTAAAGTATATAGTATAAATGGTTAAAGGTGGTGGTTCTCCAATATGAAAACAGATCTGCCTTTCTCTACAACCTTAGAATGATCTCACTGTATCTGTCTTTTTTTTAATATAGGGGCCTCCATGAATAGTAGGTAAAGCTGATACACGCTGGTAGAGTTATTGGCCTGGGGCGGCGCCTGCTTATTTGGAATGATGCTTGCCAGACATGGAACAACAAATAAAAATAAAAGGATAATTGTTTATTGCATTCTTGAATTGATCTGTGTTTGTCTTCCTTTACAGCTTTTGTGATTTACAACTTCCTTAGCCTCTGCTACGAGTACCTAGGTGGAGAAAGCTCGATAATGTCAGAAATCAGAGGGAAACCCATCAAGTGAGTTATTTCCACTTTTTTAATGCATATTCACTTTGACTCTGTAAAGTTATATACATTGAAGACTTACACTTAAATTAAAAACAGCATACCATTATTCAAAGCACTACTGATCTGAAATAAACACTAAATGGACTTCCTGGCCATTCGGCACAGAACAAAATTATAGCCAAAGACCAAACCAAAATATATTTATCTTTTAATAAAATTACCAATGTTCTTCTCAAACATATATCAACAAATCAGTCGGGAGGTGAGCAGTTCTTTAGGGGCATTTTTGAATTTTCCTGATCCACCAGTGAACTCGGTCCAGGACTACTGCCCAATGGGTTGAAAACTACATTTGAAGTTAGAGAATTCAGGTTAACTGCAAGGAATGCACTGAATTATTGGAAATGGTTTTGGTTAGGTATTACCCAAAAATGATCTTCACTAGAAGGAAGATTCCACTGTATAACTATCATTCTGTTTCATATTTTCTTTCCCATGTAGTGATTTAATCCAATCTCTATCATTCTTATTTTGACCTCAATAAAATGACAGTTATGTTTGCAAAACAATTAATAAAACTATGAATATACAATAGTTTTTTTGTAAATATAGTATTCCTTATTTACGTTTCCCTCTCATCCTAGGTCCAGCTGTTTGTACGGAACGTGCTGTCTGATGGGTATGACCTACTCCATTGGATTTTTACGGTTTTGTAAACAGGTGAGATTGTGAGAAGTCTTTGAGTGCGTATTTGTATAGTTGGTGATGGTTGGGTAACAGTTCTGTTTTTACTGGCACTGCTTGGTCAGCCAGTATTAACCCATTTATTAAGACCATGTGAAATAGCATCAAAAATTTACTGGAATGGGAAAAGACTATTTGATCCATGCTCAGACTATACACAGTCTACAGCAAGAATATCTGGATTTATATAGCACCTATTAAAGAAATAAAATGTCCCAAGGTGTTTCACAGTAGGGTAATCAAACAAAATTTGATACTGAGCCACGAGATATTCAGATAAATTATACAAACTTAATTAAAGAGGTTATTTGGAGCAAATTAAAAGAGAAGAGGTTTGGGGAGGCAATCCCAGATCTTAGGGCCTCAACAGCTGAAGGTATGGCCTCCAGTAGTCCACTGCTGAAATCAGCTCTGCAATTGTGCAGAGATCCTGGAGGGTTGTAGAACTGGAGGTGATTAGTGGCAAGGGAAGGAGCATCCATGTAAAGATTTGAATACAGGATGGAAAACTTTATAATTGAGATGTTGTAGAACTTGGGGTTACCTCCATATTGCCCAGATGAAATTGTTGATGTGCAACATCCATTGAATTAATTTTAATAGAAGACACCTTATGCACAACATAGGTAAACAAAACACGTGTGCCACTCCAATTCAGTTAGCAAATTAATAGAGCACTACTGATCAAAAACTTTCATATTTGGCACTTTTTCAGCGAAACATTAAATGTTGAAGTACACAATATGTATGCATTGAGATCCCATCTATCTATACATTTGTTGATTATTTGCATTTCCCATGTGGCTAGAGTCTAATGTACAGTGCTGTGATAACCGTTTTTAAACTCAGTCCTGTCCCTTTAATATATGAGCTATAGCTATATACTAATGCATAATACCAAAATATTCTCAAACAACACCACAAAACATTAATTACTCATTACATTTCCGCTATTCATTCCTAGTTTGCTTCCTTGCACAGAAAACATTTGCTTCAGGATCCATTAATTTCCATTAATTATTTGACAGTTTCCACTTCGACCTATCCTTCTATATTCTACTAAATACAGAAAATACTGGAAACATTCAATGAGGTGAGAAACATCTGAGCAGTGTGAAACAGATAATGGGCTGAATTTTACCAAAGTTAGTGTAGTGTCAATTTCATGGAGTTTCATAGAGGGTTTCTCTTTTGTGCGTCCTAGCATGTTATCTCATGGAATTTTCTGCTGCTCACCTGTTTATGTATGCACAGCATTCCTATGGTGCTGTGCTCGCCAATGGCAGATGTGTTTGCCATTGTCAGGATCTTCAAAATTTGTGCTGCTGGCACTGTTTTTAAAGCCCAGCTGTGCAGTATGTCAAATGCTGCCACCTATGAATAGCCCTTCACAGGATACGTAGTGGGAGAGAAATTAAAAGGAAAATCTTCTGGGCAGATACATGGCTGTGGTGACATGTATATCAAAATAGATCACATTTGTAAATATATGGCCACATTACATCATCATCTGCTCGATTGACTAACGTTATAACTGCTGCTACAAGAATCAAGCTCCAGAAGGTAGCCTTCCTTACAGCCAGACCACATTAGAAACCTGGAAGCTACCCTTTCCCTAATGCCCAGCATGGCATAACATATTATCATTGTTGAATGCATCAACCTCCGATGTTGTAAAACCTTAAGATTTCTTTTCATATTTTCTAATCAGCCTGTTCCAGAGCTGTCAATACACATGTTATGGATTAGGTGGGATTGGAACCTGACTCTGAGTTAGAGACACTACCACTATGCCACAATGCTAACTATTGTAGATGATACACATTACTGCTATTGAGTGATGGTGGAGCAAGTGAATGTGGATGTAATCAATCAGGTTGCTTTGTTCTGGATGGTGTTAATCTGCTTGAATAGTGTTGGATTTGCATTCATTCAGGAAAGTGGGGAGTATTCCATCACATTTCTGATTTTATGCTTTGTAGGTGGTGGACAGGCTCTGTTGAGTCGGAAAGTGAGTTACTTAATGCAAAATTCTTTGTTTTGGACCTGTTCTTATAGCCACAGTATTTTGTGTAACCACAACCGTTTTCCTTTGTACCAAGTTTGACTTCAACCAGCAGAGAGATTTTCCCCAGATTTTCAGTGACTCCAGTTTTGCTAGGGCTCATTGATGTCACACTCAGTCGAGTGCTGCTTGATATCAAGGTTCAGCTCTTTTGTCCATGTTTGAACCGAAGGTGTAGTGAAGTCAGGAGCAGAGTGGCTCTGGCAGAATTCAAACTGAGCATCACTAAGCAGCTTATTGCTGAGCTGGTTCTGCTAGATAGCACTACTGATGATGCCTTCCGTAATTCAGTAAGAATAGACTGATGGGGCAGTAATTAGCTGGGCTGGATTTGTCCAGCTTTTTGCATACAGGACATGTTTGGGCAATTTTCCACAATGTCAGATAGATGCCAGTGTTGTTGCTGTACTGAAATTGGTTAGCCAGGGCACAAGTTCCGGAGCATGTCTTCAGAACTCTTGCTGGAAAATTGTCAGAGTCCATAGCCTTTGCACTATCCATAGCCTCTGTCCTGTTGAGGATTGGGAGACTTGATACAGGTCTGCAGCGGATCCTTGGAAGCAACCAAATGCATAAAAATTACCGCAGCTGTCACCTTGATCACTGAAATAGGATGGCCACCCACTCTGTCAGTTTGCAGCTCCCCCTCCAGTTTGATTATAGTGTCCTGAGAAATTCTTGTTCTGTGGCTACACTGCACCTCACTCATCTCGAGGAAAATGCATTGTGGATGATAGACCCCAGACCTACTGTACCACCACCTCATTCTTGGGGGGACCTTCTGCTGTAACCTCTTCAAGTGGAGCCTGTTTGATTATGGTTAAAGGTTGCTGCTGGTCCTGGGCTTGCTGAAACAGTTGCTCTTCCTCAATTTCTTTGCATCTTTGTTGCACAGCAGCCACAGTGACAATAACCCCTCCTGTGGCTGGATCCATTAGCCACTGTCCCAATTAATCTACGTTAGGAATATCAGAAGCAAGAGTTTCATAGTAATGTGAATAGTCAGTATTGGATCACTCTTAAATGACAGTTTAACATAGCCCTCGATGTAGTGGGACATGTGTGACTGTCAACAAGAAGGCCTTCCAGTGCTTGTACGTGGGTCTTTGTGATAGTAGTCCTTATTCTGATGTATGCAGCACAAGCAGTGCCACACAAGTAGAGTAAGAGATTGTAAATCCAACAGAAAGATTGAGACCTTGGTCTATTCCACCCCCATATCCCCCCAGAAAGGCAGCATTGCTGTAAAAAAGTATGTTGTCAAATACTTGTAGTTCAAGGTGAGAGGAAATCAGTTCTGTGTCCTTGAATAGCCTGTGAGACACTGGATTGTCTTTGTGAATTGTGGCAACTTTTTAAGGACCCGTCATTACTTCTGCTTCACTGAGATGACGGAGATAGTGGTATTGTCACTGGACTGTTAATCCAGAAAGCCAGATAATGTTCTGGAGACCCAGGTTCAAATCCCACCACAGCAGATGGTGGAATTTGAATTCAATAAATATCTGGAATTAAGAATCTAATGATAACCACAAAACCATTGGCGATTGTCAGGAAAAACCCATGCGGTTCACTAATGTTCTTTAGGGAAGGCAACTGCCATCTTTACCTGGTCTGGCCTACATGTGACTCCAGACCCACAACAATGTGGTTGACTCTGAACTGCCCTCTGGGCAATTAAGAATGGGCGATAAATGCCCTAGCCAGCGATGCCCTCATCCTGTCAATGAATAAAGAAGAAAACACTATTATCAATCTGTAATGACTAATGACATGATCAAGATTGTTTGAGACCAGGATTTGTATTCTATATGCTTGGTCACTACATGTATTTCACGTGCAGAATTCTATCATTAGAGCGATCTACTGTGTAAATGTTTGAAGGGCCTTACATTGTTCACAGATGCAGTCCACTTCTTCAGACAGAAAAGCATTTGCTTTGCACAGTCTGGGAATGGTGACAGCCATTTTTCATTTCCATTGCATATTTGTGATTTAGACGAGAGGGAACACCAATCACACTTCACATAAGCTCAGCTTGATAATGTAGAGACCTCTGAAACTTTCATGTTCATTTCTTCGTTGCAGTCCCTGTTGATGCCATCAGTTCTGAGCTTCCACACATTCCTACTCAATTTTTTTTGTTTAAGTCATTGTCCCCCCCATTTTATCCAGTGATCCCGAGCCTACAGCTTAGTTATTCCAACCATCATGTAATCATTTTTAAGATCTCAATTGAAGCACCATTCAGCCTTCTAATTACAAGCCAAGGTCATAGTTTAACTATTTAACCTGTACTTTAACTCTAAGGCCCAGTGGATTTTGGAATGAATTTGCACTGCCATTGTCCAAGACCAGTATATTCTTCCTGAGGTGTAGTGCCCAGAGCTGAATGCTGTCCTCAAATTGAAGACTGCCCAAGGCTCTGTACTTCAGCAGTTTTAACAAGCAATGTTCATGCATTGCTTCTCTTTTGTATTCCACACACTTTGAGACAAAAGCCACTGTTCCACTACCTTTTTGATTACATTTGTGTACTTCGTGCAGTAACTTTTAACGATCTCTGTACGTGATCAACCTTTGCTCCTACACCATTTCTTGATTGTCACTATTTTTCAAAAAAACACATCCGATATGTCTTTCTCTGTTCAGAAATGTGACCTCACATTTGCCTGTGATGAACTCCAATCTTCCACAGTGTTAACCATTAGTTAAATTTGGCTGTGGCACAAGTTAACGATCTGCTTTTCAATTACTGTGACTCTCCATGGAATCTGCAAAACATAGATGGTGGAAAAGCAAAAGACCCAAAACAGTAATTGTCATGTTTAGCTGAGGCATCCAATTATTATGGATCTGAAATAAAAACCCTGATGGAGAAACTAAGCAGGTCTGGTAGCATAAGTGGGGAGAGAAATAGGGATAACGTTTTGAGTTCAAAGACCTTTCTGCTTCAGATCGCCAGCGTTTGGACTACTTTACTGTTATATTGGTACAGATCTGCCATTCAGAATACCCTTATTTATGTTTAATCGTTTCATTATCTTTACTTTCAGTGCATTCTGATATATAAAGTTGCTTGTTCCTACTTGTTGCTGTCAGTATCAGTTATGTCTCTTGTTGAACGGTGCGGTAGTGTTTTTTGATGTCTTTTGTAACCATATGCTTGGTAGCAGAGTGCTTATGTTTCTGGACTATTAATCATGAGGCCTAGACCAAGACCTCAACATAGGAGTTCAAATTCCACCATGCCAACTGGGGACTTCAAATTTGACTTGCTAAATATGGGACAAAAAGCTTGTTTGGTGAAACAACAGGATTGTTACAAAATTCCATCTAATTCAGTAATGCCATTCAGCAGAGGAAATTACATGCTCACTCAGCCTGGCTATATGTGACTCTAGATTCAGAGTAATGTGATTGAGCTGCCTTTAGCTCTTAGCTGCCCTCTGAAGTGGCCTAGCTAGCACTCTGGGATTCAAGAAGGTGACCACCACCAGCTCAAGGCCAATTAGGTTTGAGAAATGATTTTTCTTGCCAGTGAGGGCCAAATTAATGTAGCAAACAGCAATCTAAAGCTCTGACTACAGCCGTTAACTCAGTGCGTGCATATGAACAAATTGATCGTGGGGTGCTACGATTGACTAGTGTCTTTTAGCTGATGAGAAGATTTAAAAATGAGATTGCACCCATGTACACACCATTGCTGCCCATTTGACATGTGCTGAAAGGGTGTAAGTGTGGCCGTTGGATGAGAGGCATTGTTGGGCTCAATATTAAGAGACCAGATGGTTAGACTTTGATATGACAGGTTGCCTAGTACCCCACCTGAGACTATGGTTGAAACTGCCTTCAAGAGAGCTTTTTTCTTGCAGAGTTCAACTTGATCATTGTATATTCGGCATTGCTTGGTGAGTAACACTTTCAGCATGAGAAGGTTGTGGATTCAAATTCAATTCACAGAGACCTGAGCACGCAAGTAACAATCCATGTAGTACTGAAAGTGCTACACTATTATAGATGTCATCTTTTGGATGAGACATTAAACCAAGGCCACATCTGCACTCTTGGGTAATACTATTTTATGAAGAAGAGCAGGGAAGTTCTGCTTGATATCCTGGTCAATATTTATTCTTAAACCCAGTGATCCAATCAATATCACACTGTTGGGCCTTGCTGTGTGCAGTTTGGCTATCACGTTTCTTACAACAGTAACTGCATTTCAGAAAATGCTCTATTGGTTACGAAGCATCTTGTGTGGTCCTGACAGTGCAAGGCACTATTGAACTACAAATCTTTCTTTATGTCCTTTCGTATAGTGATGGTTCGTTTGTACACACCTAAGGAGGGAACCTGTTCAAATGTTCTTTGTTCCTTGTGGAGATGTGCCTTTTATATAGTTGGTGGAAGTTTGTTTTTGTGTTCATGAGTGAGAAAAAGGGATAAAAGGGGAAGAAACTGACCCCACGATATTGACTGCATTGTCCTAATTTTCAGAGTTTTTTAAAATTGCTTGGTAGTCATTTCATTTATGTCTGGGATTTTAAATTAACTTACTAATGTTTGTTTCTTGTAACTTACCAAAATCCTACTGCATGCCTCTTCCAGGCTACCCTACAATTCTGCGTGATTAAACCTCTAATGGCAGTCATCACCATTATTTTGCAAGTGTATGGCAAATATCACGATGGAGACTTTGAGTAAGTTGCCACTTTAAATATCACTTTTCAAATGTAAGATCTGGCTTTCTTTTTTTAAGAACTTAAAATCTTTGATTAGTTAATACAATTTTTTAAATGCGTCTTCCTCAGGTGTAATGCGAACAGCTGGATTATGTACTTTGAGGTCAACTGGAGTGAGAGAGTTAAAGTATTCTTGATTTAATAATTTGTTTCTGAATTCAGCTTTCCTGGATAAGTTATCTACATACCAAGTGATTTAATTCTCTGTTGTATGGAAGGTTAAGCTAGTATTGCAGAGCAGTAGAAAAGTTTCCTTCATTCATTCATGTAAGCAATGTCTTCGGAAGAGCATAACTGAGAGAATATTTCTCATATATAGACTAAGTAAAAGAGAGCATTGCCAATTATTTGGGGCAACTCAAACTTCTGTCTTATCTGTGTACAGTGCAAACTAGATGACTAGGTGACCGGACAAATAGGAAAACAAGTACTTCTCTGGTCATTTGGGTGCGGTTGTTGTTGTGATATCAACGGATACAAGAACATCATAGGTTTGGAAGTAAGATTGTCTGTATTTATTGATATCTGGTTCAGACTGACAGTGGCCAGCAAGCTGGGAACAGGTGAATTACCAAATTTCTGGGCCACAGTAGAGGTGGTAGCACAATAAAAGGCGTAAAGAAAAAAGTAAATATTTAACCATGTATGTTTATTCAAAAAAAAATTAAATATATAATATTTGCATTTATATATAGTTAATGTTTAATATTAGTACAAGTTAACTTACTTGTGGCCACTGTGGGTTGGAAACAATCTGACTCCAGGTAGAATATAATTATTTCTTTAGTTGGCCAAGTAAGATGTACTGTCGGATCTTGTTCAACAAATTAGCCCCTTGAGTAAGAACACTGTAGTAATATGCTGTAAAGCTGAGCTGTGTGAGACATATTTCTACCAATTTCTAATGTAGGATGAAATAATAGATAGCAACTGGAATAAGCTATTTACTTCTTGAAACTGTTCTGGCATTCAGTTACGCAATGGCTGAGATGTGTCTCAACTCCAGATTCTGTAACCATTAATAAAAATCTTAACAATCTCAGTTTGAAATTTCTAATTGATTCCTAGCCTCAACAGCTCTCTTCAGGGAGAAACTGGCTCTAATATGCTTCCATTTTCTGGACTTTCCCACCAGAGGAAATAGGTTCTCTTTCTGAACCCTATCTGGGCCGTTGGCCACTTGTCATATAATAAATATTGAGTAATTTCTGTACTGCATTAGGCATCGATAATTTGAATGTAACTTTCCCACGGAATTCTGACTTGCATTAAAATGATAAGATAATTTGCTTGGAGTTGGCGAATGGATAAAGAGACAGAAATGCTAGGGAAATGTGCTTCAGCAGCTAGGACATATTGTTCCAAGGACATGTTTTGAAGAAGGGAGAACAAGAATAGTCATTGTAGAGGAGGAGTGGACACAGACAGAAGACTGTAAAAGGGCCATGGAGATAGGGTAGACCAGATAGACCAGATGGATCAGATTGAAGGAGAGTTTAAAGAACTTCAAGTTCTTGAAGGAATTGAATAGAAAGAAGTTCCCTTTTTGGGCAATGCTTATCAGGAAGTTGGAACTGTAGCGGTTTGGTGGACCAATACTTTACTGTATGGAGATGCTTGGTCTCCCCAGATTGTGTTTGTGGGTCAGCTCTGTAGCCGTTATGAGCTTCTGGAACTTCCTAAAAAGAATCTCTCTACTGCTTCATATCAGAAGGTAAAGTTTAGCCAATATTGCAAACCTTTCTAAAGAGTCACTATTATTGCCACTAAAACACAGCAGTTTTAGAGAGATACTTTTAACCTTTTTGAAAAATGCAACTTGAAGTGGCCAAATTTCTCTACTTTGGGAGATTGAAGAATTAATCCTCCCTTGAAGTTCTTCTTTGTCTCTGTCTCTGCTACTGGTTTGGCTCCTCAAACATATTAAAATTGTAATTTTTATATTGTTCTTGCAGGTTCAAAAACAACTATTTTTCTTTAATGTTAACTGCCTAGCTAGGCACTGAAAAACTGTCTTCTCATTAATCCCTCATCTCTGCAAGAGTACAAGTTTTAGTTAGTCTTTAGCAGCCTGAAGCAATAATAGTTTGAAGTTAGTAGTAACCCTGAGTTTTTAGGTCATCCTTTTCTGTTTCCCCTACAACTAGTATTTAAAGTCTATACTGAAATGTCCAAATTCTAGAAGTGAAGTTTCCCATTGTGTAACATTTGTAGAGTGAAGATTGCAGTTAGGTGATCCAGTGCATACCGCAATCTATCTGTATTAGAACTGACATTAGCAAAGTTCTAAAAGAAGGACCCTGGTGCAAACAGAACTCAATATGTAGACTGTAAGAAAAAGTGTTGAGATAAGAAAAATTCTTAAGAAAATGCTTGGCGATGCAGTGAATTCTCTCATTACAAATTATTTGTGTGTTTTATTTCCACAGTGTGAGAAGCGGATACCTTTATATCACTATTATTTATAACATCTCTGTCAGTCTTGCACTCTACGCATTGTTCCTCTTCTACTTCGCCACCAGTGAACTCCTCAGTGCATTCGATCCTATTCTGAAATTCCTGACGGTGAAGTCTGTTATTTTTCTCTCCTTCTGGCAAGGTGGGCATCCAAAATGTCTATTTTAAAAATCTATTTATCTTTACTAGAATTGAGAAAAACAAATTAACAAAGTACTGTACAAGGAATCTAAAGGAAAATAAGTGAAGTGGAGGAACTTGATTTTTTTTTTCACTAAAAATAATAGGAAAAAAAGGGAATTAGGATGGACAGATCCCCAGGATCTTACGTTTTCCACATGAGACATTTTAAAAAATTGCAAATGTCATAATGTTGCACTCAGGAATTCAAGAAAGGAGGAGGAAGTCAGGTATTTCCTGACCCCTTAATTTAACATTGCGGAGGAGTCATTTGAATCTATCTATAGAAGTTAATTGACTCTGAATGCAGACAGATGTCAGCTTCTATTTGTGTGGCGTGGCCATGCACAAAATGGTGCCCTTTAGCCAATTAAGTTTTTGCACCTCCAGTAATGTAGTGGTAATGACTAGACCATGGGTTCAAATCCTACCATCGCAGCTGGTGAAATTCAAATTCAGTTAATAAATCTGGAATATAAAACTAGTTTCCGTATAGTAACCTTGAGACTGTCAATTGTCATAAAAACCTGTCTGGTTCACTGATTTTATTCTGGAAAATCTGCCATTTTACCCAGTCTACAAGTGACTGCAGACCCACAGCAACGTTGTTGACTTAACTGCAGTCTGAAATGGCCTTGTAAACCACGCAACTCAAGGGCAAATGGGGTGGGAAAAAATGTTGTGAGAGAAGAAAAAATGCAATTTGCAAATAAAATGCTTAATGATGTTTGAGAGTTGTGTTGAGGACATCTGTTGAAATTCTATTTTTCACTCCATTAAAGTGGCATGTAAGTTGCTATATCTACTAATGTGGACTGGATCATATTCCCTCAGGAATGCTGCTAGCGATCTTGGAGAAATTTGGAGTAATTCCAGAAGTCCAGATTATTGATGGCCATGAAGTCCGGGCTGGGACAGTGGCTGCAGGCCACCAGAACTTCTTCATCTGCATTGAGATGTTCTTTGCTGCCATTGCCCTTCGCTATGCCTATCCATCTCAAGTATACAGTGAAAAACGTGAGGCCACACCAGGTACGAACAGCCATTACTCCAAGCTCCAGCAGCTGACTGGAGGAATAGGTAGTGCTAAGATTATTTTTGTCTTTTCAATGAATAAATCTGAGATTTGGAGCAGAAGTTACCTGGTTAGGTTCAAGGTGTAAAATTTAGTTCACGGTTGGGGTCACAGTTTTCTGTTATTATTTAGTCTTTGTTTCCTGTGCCAAGGCAGAGGAAAAATCAACTACCTCCACGTCTGCTTTTTGAGAGAGAGAAAGGAATAAATATTGGGTGACCACAGCATTAACTTGGCTTTGATATCCAATGTTAAGGAATGGCTTGTTGACATTCACAGTCCAGGGTTTTCATCGCAGAACACGTACACAGACACACACACTCACTCTTGGCCAAAATACCAAACAGGTGCTCAGATCATTTCCTCCAGCACAGGTCCTGTGCTTTAGAGAGAGAAGATTAAGGCAAGCATGTAAATTGTTGCTAACATAATTGAAGAATAATTTGTATCTATTTGGGACTTTTTGTGATCACAGGATAAGGTACTTTGATTCGTCACACATTCCTTATTTTCAGTATATTCGGACTGGCTAGTGAAATCACAATGATGTTTGGAAGTCTTGTATACAGTCCCGATACAAGCCCGGCTCATGAGCCGTCCGTGCATACAATTTCCAAATGTGAGAATTTATTTTACAGATGACTGACTTTTACAAAAGTAAAAACCATACATGAAGTGGACATTTTAAACTGTTCCACATCAGGAGCACATATGACTAGAGTCTATGCCCTGCCAGCACCTCCCAATCCAACCGCTTCTCTCTCTTCCACTGCCACCACCCCCCCCACCCACCCCCGCCAACTCTTTTCATGCACATAGGACTGAGGCAAATGATCTTGATGCTTTTGATGGACAACAACAGTATTGTTGATGTTGAAACAAGTATCACAATGGGCCATCCTATACCATTGGGTGGTCTCAGCAAGCATTTATGCTGCATATGAAGTACTTTCAAATTAACACCAGCTCACTTATTAGAACATGTTATTTTCTCCCTCATGTTTATCTGGCTTCCTCTTAAATGCATCAATGTTATTCACCCATGGCAGCACCTTTGCACGTTGTCACCACTCTTTGAGTAAAGAAGTTTCTGCTGAACTCCCAATTGGATTCATTAATAAAGGCAGGCTGCCCAATGAAGTATACCCCAGCTGAGCCCTGTGACTGATTCTACCCTGGCTGATAGAGGCTCAGACCTGTTGGCTGAAAGTCTAACTTTTCTCCTTTCTAAACCCTGCATCACTGACACAATTACTCTCTGATCACTTCCAAAATGCTGAAACCAATTATGAATAGCAAATTGGAGAAGATATTTTGACTTGCAAAAGAAACATCTTATAACAATAAAGACTAATAAATCAATTAGAAATTGAAGTGAAATTTTTTTGCCCAGAATGATTAAAATGTGGAACTCGAATAAAGCAGTTGAAATTAAAAAGATATATTTAAGGAGGAGCTTATTAACTACGTGGAGGAGAAAAGGATAATGCTGATGTTAGATGGGGTGGGAGGAGGCCCTTTTGGAATATAAATACTATCATGGACCAGTTGGGCTGAATGGGCCCTGTTTATAATGCTGTTGATGGGACATGCCTTGTGATTGTGTCAAGGGCCTAGACTTTATAATATTGGTGTGGCATCATGTATTGATTTTTACCCTCGGAGTAAATAGGGATGTCTGGAAGCAGAAAAAGCACAAGACTGACTGTAATTGGTTAATCGTGAATCTTTGAAACTCTCACTTGACTAACGTGTTGTCCACAGGTAACATAGCTCCCATGCAAAGCATATCCAGCGGCCTGAAGGAGACTATGAATCCCAATGACATTGTGCAGGATGCGATCCACAACTTCTCCCCAGCATATCAACAGTATGCACAGCAATCGACCAAAGATGAAGTAACACCCAGGCACAATGGACATACCTTGCCTCAAGCATGTACCCATTTTACAGGCCGCCGAAAGACTGGCGAGAAAATTATCCTCATCAGCTCTGAGGATGAGCTGTAGACTTGAGTAATTCTTTTGTTTTTAAAAAAAAAAACAGAAGTGAGATGCTGAGACGGGTAGTGGCTAATCTTTGTCATTCATCCTTCCAGAGATCAGGAATCACTCTGTTCCCCTTTCCTGGGAATCGGGCTGCAATCTTTGATTTTCATTTTCTTCAAGCTGTTTTGACTTGAAGTGATTCCTAAATCTCAAAGTAGAACAATGTGTGGAGGCAGATCCCGGCAAAACCATGGAATTTTACTGTAAGTAACCCGAAGCTGCTGCAGGTGTATGATGTTCCGTACATATGCACACACACTCAAATCACACATTCTTGTGATCTCCTGTGTCTCTCATGCACACACTATAACTTCACCCTCTCATACATTCTCCTGCTAACATACAGGCACAGTCATGTTCACTGTTTTGCACATACATGCTTGGCCTTGTGATCGTACCCCTCTCCCTTGGTCTGAACTGCATGGTCTCTTTCCTACATTGTGGTACGGAGTGAACATTAATCTGTTCTCTGGATTGTTTGATGCATTATTGATCTGAAGAATCTCCCACAGTTAAGGTATCGGTTTCAGAGATTATTCGCACATTCTGTGTAAAATCACTGAGGGATAGATGTATTTTCTATAACTGAAATTTTTAAATACCTGGTTAGTTAATGACGGATGAGCAGAATGTCTGTCAGCTTTGTTGCGCTAAAGTCTTTTATTATAAACTCATTTCAGAAATGGCTTTTAATCAGTATTTTCCCACCATCAATCTCCAACTAACAATATTCTGGGATCATTGACCAGAAACATTAACTGGATCTGCCACATAAATACTGTGGTTACACGAGCAGGTCAAAGGCTGTTAATTCTGCGCCTCCAAAGCCCCTCTGCCATCTGGAAGGCAGAAGTCAGGAATATGATGAAGTACTCTTCACTTGTCTGAATGTATGGAGCTGCAACAACACTTTAGTAGTTTGACATCATGAGACGAAGCTGCCACACAGTTGATACTCTGTGCACAATCTTAAGCAGTCTCTTCCTCTACCAGTGGTGCATTGTGCCAATTTTGTAAAATCTACATGTTACACTAGCAACTATTCGAGACTCCTTCAATACCTTCTAAATCCACAATTTCTACTACCTAGAAGAAGGGCAGTGGGTACTTGGGAACATTACCTGCAAGTTCCTCTCCAAATTGCACACTGTACTGACTCAGAACAAGGTGACCAGCCAAACACCTGGAACCCACAACCTAACAGCAGTGTGCAGGAGTACCTTCGTTTCTCAGACTTCAGTGGTTCAAGAAGGCCAAGGCAACTGTCACATGTATAATTAGGATGGGTGATAGCTGCTGACCTCACCTGTGCCAGACATCTCGTGAATGATTGATTAAAATATTATTCTGGCTAAAAGAAATACAATTTATAGTGATGCATTCCCCATCTCTCTGTTCCCACAACTACTGACATTATGTGGCCTCATTTGCACTTGTGACTCCTTCATCCTCCAACATGATGGGCGTACAAATGCCAAGACATCTTTAAACAGAAAGGAAGGAAGTTGTGTGTTATTGGATTGAAAAACGTGTTTGGACACCACTGAGAATGCACATTCAAATTAGATCAGTCTAATTGGACACAATACTCTATTGTGCACTTTGCTTAAATGATGGACAATAATTGAGCAAACAGGTACCCTAAGTTTGACAGTCAACAGTAGAAGAATGCTGTTCAGTGTTTGTGCTCTTGCTGTGCTGTATAACCGTACTGATGCTGCCTGGGGAGGTACAGATGGTAAATGATCCTTCCACGCCAGGCTCTGAATTTACAAATTTAAAGTCAAGTACTGAAAAGCAGATAACTAATCACAAATTATGCCCACCTCTCATGTAGTTAACTGTTTGTTTGTGCTCACAACTATATTAATTTCAAGAACTAATTGTTGTAGGAAATCAGCAACTACAGAGCCAGATTCAGGATCCCTAAGCAGTTTACATCATGTTTACGTTCTTCATTATAACAGGAAGTAGAGCATTATAAATTGATTAAAGGATTGGAGTAGTTCTAGTTTGAATGACTGTGAATGCATTTAAATGTTTGTGGGGAAGTGGAAGAATAATTGTATGTACTATATGACTAATTTTGTTATGAAGCAACTGGACTCTGAGTCTTACTTTGTTTTTGTCTAGTTCTTAAGTTTTTAAAATTATTATTTGCTGCTATTTTGATACTTGCATCATTTCCATGGACAACAGGGTTATTGCAAGAGTGCAACTAGGTTAGGATAGCCCTCTGATACAGTCATGAATCGGAATGTATTTTTCCATGATTATTTATCAAAGCTTTGGCAAAAATGTAGTTTGCTAATTAGCACTGATATCATAGAATCCAGTTAGACCAGCAACTTAACACTTTCTTTCCAAATGCTAATCCCCATGCATGATGGTTTGAGGGCTCACTGCTTCTTCCTTAAATAGAAGCTCAACCAGTTTCTATCAACCAACATCCTCCTCTACCTATTTATGTTCAACAATTCACCCTTTAACTCCTCTCCCTTTTTCCAAATAGGAGGTGATACCAAGTGTACCTGCATCAGTTTCAGTATGTCTACCTTTTTGCAGGATATGTTGAACATTCCTTGTTCTAGTTGTAAGTGCATGTTGGGGGTGGGGTCAGGAAGAATTGGAAAAGGTCTTTGCCTTGCTTTCAGTTTTCCACCCTACTCAATACATCCTTGACTCATTGATTGTACCTTGACTACACTTCCTCCACCAGCCTATGTATTCAACAGATCATTTCTCGCCACCTCCAGCATGATGGCATCATGTAACACAACTTTGTCTTCCTCCCCTTTCACTACATCAAAGGGATCATTCACTCTGTAAAACCCAGTTCCATTCCAAACACACTGTTCCCTTCCCACAGCACCTTTCCACTTCCCCTTCAGGTGTAACACTTCCCCTTCAACCTCCTCTCTCTCTCTCCATTAGCCAAAGTGCTAAACACTCATTTCAGATGAAACAGCAATTTATTTGTACTTACAGCAGACTAGACTGAAAGTAGTATTTGCTCACAATGCAGTTTCTTTCACACTGGGGAGACAAATACAGATTGGGTACCTTTTCGGTCCAGAAGCATGCCTATAAGCCTCTGGTCATTGTCATTCTCCTCATGCTGACATCTGTCTTTGTCCTACTTGTTGAAAGCTTGAGAAGAACTACCTTTGTTTCAGTTAGGTATTTCACAGCCTTGCAGCTTGATACAGATTTCAGCAACTTCAGCCCACAATCTCTGCTCAGTTTTTTTTTTGTTACCTTTTCTTTGGCTTTGGTTTTTTCTTATTTTTGCATTCAGTCAGCAGCACACTGCTCTGTGTCCTTCTTTTGTTTATTTTCTTGTTCCATTACCATTCCCTTCAGCCCTGTAAAACTAATTCTTCCCTCACTCCATATCCCCTGACTTTTTATCCTTTTGTCTGACTCCTCATCCTCGCTTTAACTATTACATGTGTAACTTTTCTCCAGTTCTGCTGGAAGGCCACAAAACTGAAGCATTAAGTTTGCTTCTCTCCCCATAAATGCACCTGACCTGCTGAGTCTCTCCAGCATTTTCTGATTTTATTGATGCTAAATTGTTGGCATTTGTGTCTCTGGTCAGGAGTTGCTGTGTGGAAGCAATATACTACCTCAGGAGAGCAAATCAACCCTGCAATGCACCACTTCCTTTGCAGAAATATCAGTTGTCTGCAGTGAGATGATATTTGGAATAAGTGTCAACCATGGCGTACTGTGTAGAGCTGTTTTGAGTGAAAGATTACTTTCAACCTCCACTCCACAGACTTAAGCACATAATCTAGGCTGATGCTCCTATACAGCAGTGAGGAGTGCCACAATATCTGAGGTAGTGGTTTTTTGAGAAATATTGAAAAGAAATGCATGTTAACTATTCCTCTGCATTATTTCAAAGAGAATGGGGGGTTCTCCCTTCTGCCCCAGCAAATATTTATCCCTTATCTAACATCACTAGAACAAGTTACGTGTTCATCACATTGCCATAGGTATTTTAAAACAATCTATTCTGACATTATAGAAGAGGTGGGACTTGAACCCTGGGTCTTCACCTTAAAGATAGGGACACTAGCTACAGTGCCATCATATTGTTACGTACAGGACCTCATGTTAAAATTGACTCTAGCATATCCTAAAGTACTTTGGGATATGGAGGTCATGAATTGTGATAAAAGTCTTGGCGAGAATCAGATTTCAAACAGGAATCTCCCTCCCTGAAGGAGGAAAAAAATCAATTTTTAAAAGTATTTTTATTTATTGTTTTTCCATTATCCATCAATGTAAATTTAAAATTAATATTTTATCTCCTAGCAAGAAGTGCCAGCACACCGCGCCCCCCCCGCCACATCCCCCATTTCATTCTTTGCAAGAACCCACAGTGATAACACAGATGCTGTTAACAAGAGGGAGAAATGACGTGTGCAGATGACTGTCTGAGAATACAGCAGTCACTATCTCCTCCTATGTTGAACTCCTGGAAGTAGTCCAAATGTTGAAATCGAAGTACCTCATTCCCCCAGCTGGTCCATCCGGGCTGCAGATTTCGGGCAAACAGCTCCAGGCATTCAGGGTTTGGTCTAGTCAATCCTTTCAGTGCCTCCCCTAATGGCGGCTTGTGGGAATGAAGGAGACAGGGAACACTGACCAGCAGCTTGTGGTCAGGCACTGGGACTGTTTCTGTGACATGTTCTCCATTTTGTTTTTCTGGGCTTCCTTTATACCTGCCTAGAACCAGGATCTCATAGGGTTTCTTGTGGGTGGAGTCTAAAGGGACCACAAACTCTCCGTGCTGGGTTATCTTCACCCAGTGCCACTCTGCAACTACGTCAACGGACCAGCTAGGGTATAACTCTTCCTTGACAAAGCGCAGGTGTCTTTGCCGATTGGTGACCCAGCTCACCACCAGGCAGCCTGGAGCTGAGAGTGCTGGCACAGGAATCTGTTGGATCTGCCAAGGGAAGAGGTGACTGTAGCCTTTGCTTCTCTTGACTGACTTATTTTCCCAGGGTGGGTCCAAAGTAATCACGTCATATTTTTTGTAGCCCAAGAGGGGTTCCATGCAGGAGATGTCTGACAGGAGGAAGCTAGAGTGTGGTGGCAGTAAGTACCTCTGCCCCATCAACATCACAATTCTGGCACAGTCTGTGCTATTCTCAGTCAGGTGGCCGAGCAGATTCAGGTTTGTTGTGGAATCTGCCTCATTGCTTATTACCTGCACAGACTGGTACTGCTCCTGTGTCATCTGCTTTGCCATTGAGCAAAGCTCCACCAACATAGAGTCAGCAACCACTGGAGTGATTTGTCTCTTAATGCATTCTCTTCCAGCTGGTATCCTTGAGACTATGCCTTGCTCCTTAAAGTCCTTGCTTTGTTCTATCAGCTTTCTAGTGCCACTCCAAATAGCCAGGCTGACCTGTTTATGGTATTCCTCTGCTTCTATCTCTCCTTGGTTCAGTGCATGACTTTTCCTCTTGCGCTTTCTGCCTTTTGGTCTTGAGTCTCCACCCACTGGCTCCTGATCTTTTGGTTCTGTGTCAGCAATGTGGGGCTTCTCAATGTCAAAATATGCTGCCTTGAAAATGTATCGACAGCATCGGGTATCAGGTGGAATGTGATGGCAGCATCTGTACAACTGGTTGATGTAGGCTTGGTGATCCAGTAGCCATCCCACAGAGTCACTCTTGACTACAGACATCACTCCCAACACTTGCAGCAAGAACAGAGAGTTTGTTTGAGTGTCGTCTCCTGCTTCCACTCTCTGCTAACTCAGACTCTTCCTTCACCATTAACTGGCCCACTTCCCTTTCCCCACTGTCTCTCCTCCACTCTCACTTGTTTGAAAGGTATACAAAGAAATCTGTTTTCAGCAGATCATTAGCTGCTACTTCAGTTGTAAACCTGAAACTTCCAAATGCCAGTATGGAAATCTGTGGATTAAACCCAAAAAAAATTGTTAGTTTGCAATAAGACTATGATGAGTGAGTACAAAGTTCATTCTTGAGGACCAAACGTAAAATTGACTTTAAAAGCACAATAAATAATCCGTACACCACATGGGTTTACTGCCATGGTTTAAGTTATTGTATTAGTCTGCCGCACCCGACTACCGAATATCAGTCACAGTGATCGTTTGATTTACTCATCCAGCATCTTCCCTCCACACATTGACTTGACAAGTATCATGTAGTAACATCTCAACAGAGGTGTGACACCATTTGACATGAGCACAGCACCTCCCTCAGTGTACCACATTGTGCCTTGTTAAAATGAATTAATGTGCATTTACCATGAGCCTTTCAAATTTCAGAGCCTTTCAAATTTCAAAACCTCCCAAAGTGTTTTACTTTAGTGCTGATGAAACATGGTACTGTTAGGTGTTTTTCAGATGTGATATTAATCCAAGGCCCAATCTGTTCTCTCAAGTAATCTGAAAATATCCCATGACACTTATGGAAATAACAGGAGAGTGTCCTAGTATTCAGGCCAATATGTATCCCTCAAGCAATATTACTAGAAGCAAATTATCTGGCTAAGTATAATGCTGTGGTTTGGGATAATGCTGTGTGAAAATTGGCTGCTTTACATTACAACATTAAATAGATTTAAAGTACTTCATTGGATGTAAAGCACATTGATACAAATACAAGTCTTTCTTCAAGCCAATTCAATATTTCTGGAAAATTACTGTTTAAGGTTGGAAATGATCATCTCTCAGGATACTGAATCTTGAATTCTCTATCTTAGAGTTATGTATGCTCAGTAATTGAATATATTCAAGAATGAGATCTGTATAGGTTGAACATGTAGGAAATTGAGGGATCTTGTGACAGCGTGCAAAGATTGCGTTGAAATAGAAGATAACCATGGTCTTGTTGAATAAAGGAGTTGGAACAAAGTGAAAACGATATTAAATAACAGAGGAGGCTCAACGTTCATGCAGCCTTCTCCTGTCACTTGTTGAAGTAAGCCATTTGTCCCAACTCTCCCATTCAACCAAGGCTGCCTTCTACTTTCACAAACCATTCCCATATTCCTCAATCCTTTAAAATTCCAAAATCTCTCAGAATTTCAAAACATTCATAACCCTGGAGTAAAACAAACCTCTCATCTTGGACAGTTCCCTTATTCTAAGATTGTGACCCTGTGTTCCACATTATGTTCTTATTACCATCTTGGAAATCCCTCCCTAACTATAGCATGGGTCTACCTACAGCAAAGCAGCTCATTATCACCTTCAAGAGCAATTAGAGATGGGCAATAAATATTGGCCCAGCCAGCGACATACACATCCCATGAAGGAATTAAAGAAAAAGGCTAGGGTTGTATGGGCATTCTGGATCTTGTGCAGCTTTGCCCAATTCATGAACAATGACTAATAGTGACTTATAATTAAAGATCTTAATTTTGTGAGGGACACGATGATTTGGATTGCCTGCAAATTACTTTATACTCTGGTTAACTGGTTACAGGCTTAACAATGATGTTAGAAATGCCCAAAATACAGTTTATTGTAAAGTCACCATTATTCTAGAAAGTCAGCAAAGCCATACCTTTCCTTCCTGAAATATATCCCTATCTTATTAGAAAGATAAAACTTAACATACTTTTTATAGTTTCACAAAAATAAATGTTCCCACAGTCAATGAAGCACTCTCCCTCTTTACTGGATTGGTCTGATGACTTTATAATTATTTAAAAAAGTGGGATGGGGGTGGGGGAAGAATTTTCCATGGGATCCAGAGTTTTTGGGATGTTGGGTCAGTGGGCAGAGATTCTCCACAACTTCAACAATTCCTCGCTATCAGTTTAAGTATTTAGCAGCCCGGTGGCTCAGTGGTTATCACTGCTACCTCACAGCACTAGGGACCCGGGTTCAATTCCTCCCACTGTCCAAAGATATGAAGACTATGGATTGGCTATGCTAGATTAGGTGGGTTATAGGGGATGGGTCTGGGTGGGATGCTCTGAGAGTCAGGGTGGACTTGTTGGGCCGAAGGGCCTGTTTACACACCATAGGGATTCTGTGACAAATTCTATCAACAATTCCCATTCAATTTTGCTGTCAGCTGTGGCAAAATAATTGCAGGATGTGGCCACTAGGTAGTTCTGTAGCTTGCAATTCTGGAGTCTAGTTCAACTGTTGTCCTTTATAAGATTATTACTGGGGGAAAACAATAATATTAAACTGCTAACTCTGTGTTAGACTAAGGCTAAGTTACCACTGCAGTTCTAACTGAATGTTAGTCAATGATGAACTTGCTACAGTGTAGCTAAACTGGTACTCTCCTTCAGTGTCTAACCAACTTTCATGTGTTTTTTTTTAACAATGATCTGTACAATTTGTCAGATCCGACAGGGTTACTTGAACAATGAAAAGATTCAAATTCCAAATTTATTGTTGTGATGTATTAGTGGAAATAATTTTGTAAATAAAGACATTTTTCTGAATACGTGCAAAATCCTGTTTTCTAATTTGTTAAGTTTTTGCTATGAAACTGCTAACTTGAATTAGAGAGTGGATTTGTTTGCAGCTACTTATTGAAGTATTATCGAAACACAGATATCTAGACAGTTTTGAGGAGGGAAATGCAACAGCCAACTTGCATACAGCAAGATCTTACAAACAGGAATATGATAATTACCCTATGATCTGATTTAGGTGATAGGTGAATATTGATCAAGAACACAGAGGAGTACTCCTCTGCTCTTTGAAATAGTACCAAGTAACCTGACTAGTCCGACAAATTTGAATGTCTCATCCCAACCTCAAACATTCCTGCACTCCTTCAGTACTCCATTACAGTGACAACATGGATTTTATGCTCAGATCACTGTAGTGAGACTTGAACCCACAATTTTCTGCCTCAGAAGTGCAAGTTTTAGCAGCTAAGTCAAGCATAAGGCATTTTATAGATGTGCCAAAGGTGATACATAAGACCTCCTGTTCAGCATGGTGTGAAGATTACAGAACCAAAGTGTTAAGATGCAGATCAACCACGATCTAACTGAATATTTTAACAGGATCAAGGGGTTAAATTACTACTCCTGCTCCCATGTTCCTGTGTGTTGTAACCTCTTCCAGTGTAGGTAAACACGTTTTTTTTTTATTCACTCACAAGTTGTAGGTGTCATTGACTAGACCAGCATTTATTGCCCGTCCTTAAATCACCAGAATCAACCACATTGCTGGTTGGTCTGGAGTTTATGTATGGGCTAGACCAGGTACAGATGGCAGTTTCCTTCCCTAAAGGACGTTAGTGAATAGGATGGGTTTTTCCTGACAATTTGCAATGATTTCACGGACAGAACTAGACTCTTAATTCAAGTTGTACCATCCGCCATGGTGGAATTCAAACTCCGGTTTGCAGAACATTAGAAACAAAGACAGAAATTGCAGGGAAAACTTGGCAATCTGGCAGCATCTGTGGGCCAAAAGCAAAGTTAACGTTTCTGGTCCAGCGACCCTTCTTCAGAACTGATTTTAGCTAAGAAAAGATTAGCAGTTTTCTCTGCTGAGTTTCTCCAGCAATTTCCGTGTTGCTTCTGATTTCCAGCATCTGCAATTTTTTTTTTCTCTCAGAAAATTAGCTGGGTGTCTGGATGAAAAGTCAAGCAATAAAACCGCTAGGCTATTGCCTCCCCACAGGGTTGAAATTAATCTTCAGAAATTCCTCTAGCACAAAGTCAAAATCTAACTGTTCATTATTCTCTGGGACATAGCGTGAAAGAAATGTGACACTCACTTCACTACAGCAGTCTTTATTAGAGGATTCTGTGCACCAATCTTCTAGAGCTCCTCCTTTTAGTTCTCTGCTGAGGAAGCAGGAATTTAACAGATCCAAATGTCAAGCATTGAAATGAATAAACACTGACTAGGGTAATTATTTCGTCATCCAGCATACACACAGCTCAACTCATAGTAGGAAGTTACATCACAGGAAGAGGAAGTTATGTCATGAGCTGATTAGACTGCACCTTTAATGAATGTTTAATCAATTCAGTGATGAAAGGCTAGAGTGTTTGAATTTTGCATGCTGGAATTGTCTTCTGATGCTATTGTTGATTTAAAACATTGCCCAGTGACTCACCTAGTCCTGAAAGTTAAGTCAATGATAATCTACAGTATTATGGCACAGGAGGTGATTCAGCCAATTATGTCTTTGTTGGCACTTTGAAAGATCTCATCGATTAGTTACACTGCTCCCCCGCTCTTTCCCCACAGATTTACAACTTCCTTGCCTTCAAAAAAAGTTGATGAGGGCAGTGCGGAAGACGTTGATAATGTAATGTGGAGGTGCTGGTGTTGGACTTGGATGTGCAAAGTCGGAAGTCACAGAAGACCAGGTTATAGTCCAATAGGTTCATTTGAAATTGAGAGTTTTCAGGGCACTGTTCCTTCATCAGATGAAGTCACCCTATGAAGGAGCAGTGCTCTGAAAGCATGTGGTTTCAGATAAACCTGTTGTCGTGTGACCTCTGATGTTGTTTACGTGAGCTTCAATAAAGCCTTTGGCATGGTTGACTAATTAGTGAAGTTATATCACATGGGATTCAGGGTGAGCTTGCCAGTTTGATACAAAATTGGCTTGACAGGAGACAGAGGGTGGAGATTGTTTCGCAGACTGGAAGCCTGTGATCTTCAGTGTTCCACTTTTGTTTGTCATTTATATAAACAATTTAGATGAGAATGTAGGAGGCATGGTTAGTAAGTTTGCAGATGATACTAAAATTGGTGGTACAGTGGACATTGAAGAAGTTATCTAAGGATTACAAAGAGATTTTGATCAATTGGGTCAGTGGGCTGAGGAGTGGCAGATGGAGTTTAATTTGGATAAAAGGTATTGCATTTTGATAAAACAAACAAGGGCAGGATTTGTACAATTAATATTAGGGCCCTGGGCAGTATTGTAGAAGATAAAGACCTAGGGGTTCAGGTACATAATTCTTTGAAATTTGTGTCACAAGTAGACAGGGTGGTGAAGAAGGCATTTAGCACACTTGCCTTCATTGCTCAGACCTTTTGCCTATAGGAGTTGGAATGTCATGTTGAGGTTGTACAAGATGTTGGTGAGGCCTCTTCTGGAATATTGTGTGTAGTTCTGGTCGCCCTGCTATAGTAACGATGTTATTAAATTGGAGAAGGTTCAGAAAAGATTTACCTGGATGTTGCTGGGAATGGAGAGTTTGAGTTATAAAAATAGGTTGAGACTTTTTTCACAGGAGCATAGGAGGTTGAGGGGTGACCTTGTACAGGTTTATAAAATCATGAGGGGCATAAGGTGAATTGCAAGGGTCTTTTCCCTAGGGTGGGGGAGTTCAAAACTAGGAGACATATCTTTAAGGTGAGGGAAGAAAGTTTTTTAAAAAGGACATGAGGGTCAGCTTTTTTACACAGAGTGGTTCATGTGCAGAATGAACTGCCAGAGGAAGTGGTGGATGCAGATACAGTTGCAACATTTAAAAGACATTTTAATAAGTACATGAATAGGAAAGGTTTGGAGAGATATGGGCCAAATGCAGGCAGGTGGGACCAGTTTAATTTGGGAACATGATCAGCCTGGACTAGTTGGACAGAACAGTCTGTTTACACACTATGACTCTATGACTATCATTCTAAGTATTTGGTTGATTCCTCCTTGAGAGTTACATCTGCTTGTACCAACCTTCTATGCTGTATCCAGATCATTTGAATGTTACTCAGCACTTGTTAGCCTGAATATTGTCCAGGTTTTACTGCATATAGACACGGACTGCTTCAGTATTTGAGGAATGATGAACAGTGCTCGGTTAATATCTCAACTTCTGTCTCAATGGAGGAAGGTCAGTGATGAAGCAGCTAAAATGGTTAGGCCTAAGACACTATCATGAATAGTTCCTGCAGTGAATATCCAGGACCGAGATGACTGACTTCCAACAATCACAACTATCTTTGTGCTCCAATCAATGGAGGGTTTTCCCCCTGATTCCCGTCGACTCCAGTTCTGCTTTGGTTCCTTGATGCCATACTCAGTCAAATGCTACCCTGATGACAAGAGAAGTCACTCCCACCTAACCTTTGGAGTTCAGTTTTCTGTCCTTTGGACCAAGGCTATAATGAGGTCCAGAGGACCACACAGATCCTGACCTAGTATAGGCTACAGAAAAGAACAGCCTTCAGACCAACCAACTAACAACTGAATAGCGCCTTTGTGAATAGTGATAGTGAATGTCAGTGGGTGTTGTGTGAGGCCAAAGTCCGGTGTGGCCACTCATCCTGATCAAATAGCCAGTCTGGCATCTTGAGAGATTCGGAACAGTTGTAAAAGTGGTAATGGGGCTTAGTGGTAGTACTCTTGACTCTTACTCAGAAATGATGTGGAGATGCTGGTGTTGGACTGAGGTGGACAAGGTCAGAATTCACATGACACCAGGTAAGTGTTTAACAGGTTTATTTGAAATCACAAGCTTTTGGAGTGCTGTTCATTCAACAGGCGAGTGACCACCTGACAAAGGAGCAGCACTCCGAAAGCTTGTGATTTCAAATAAACCTGTTGGACTGTGACTTCTCACCTTACTCAGAAAGTTATGGGATCAAGTTTCACTCCAGAAATTTGAGCTCAAAACTCTAGATGTTACTCCCCTTGAGGGCTGCACTATGGGAGGTATTTTGTTTAAGACAATAAACCAAGGTCCCAGCTGCTATCTTATGTAGATGTAAAAGATGCCTGGTACTATTTTGAAGAATGACAGAGCTGTTTTGCCTGAAACTCTGACCAATATATATCCCTCAACATCATTAAAAACAGATTTCTGCTAATTATCATATTGCTGTTTGCAGATACTTGATGTACAAAGTGGCTGCTGTATTTGCTACATTACAACTACACTTCATTGGCTGTAAACCACTTTGGGAGAACCAGGGATTATGAAAGGTGCAACCAATCACAGGCATTTACTTTTGTTCATCTTCCCACCCTTGTCACTGTTGGTTACTGAAAACTTCTTACATTTCTAATTTTCCCAGATCTGACGAAAGGTCACTGACCTGAAATATTAAACCGTGTTTCTCTCTGCATAGAAACTGACATTTGTTATAAGCAACAGGCACTGAGGTATAGTACTATCACATTCCTGCTAGTGGTGCTACTGAGCCATTGAAAGTTGAGCTCTCAGAGAGGAATTGCAACAGAAAGGAACTGAACCCTATATGTGAAACAAAGAACTGTGGATTCTGGAAATCTGAAACAAAAACAGAAATTGCCGGAGAAACTCTGATGAAGAGTCACGGAACTTGAAATGTTACCTCTGCTTTCTTCCCACAGATGCTGCCAGACCTGCTGAGTTTCTCCGGCAATTTCTGTTTTTGTACTCTGTATACATTTATTATGTTTTAATTTTCTACAAACGTTTCTTGTATTCCTTCCTCTATTGGGTTACCTATGGCTCAGTTGGTAGCACTGTTTTTCTCATTCAGAAAATTGTGGGTTCAAATCCCCTCAAGAAACTTGAATACAAAACTCTTGGCCGACCTTCCACTGCAGTACTAAGATGGAATTGGGATGCTGTTTTTGGGATGAGGTTGAGATATTAAACTAAGTCTACCTTCTTAGATGGACGTAAAAGATCCCATGAAGGGCCCACTTATGGTGCAGCGGTGGTGTCCCTGCCCCTAGACCAAGAGGCCCAGGTTCAAGTCCCACCTGCTTCAGAGATGTGTGATAATCATCTCTGAACAGGATAATTAGAAAAATGGGTTAAATAAAAAAAATAAAAAATTTCCACCCTCTATCACCTAGAGTGATTAACATTGCACAGAGTGAGACCAGAATCTCTCAACTTCCTGCTCTATATGTCTCAATTACTCAGGCAAGATGTGTATTGTAACTGGTAAATTTGTTGCTTTGTTACTTCTGTTTATGGTAAGAAATAAAAAATGGCAAATTTTGAAGAAAAGCAGTGGAGTTTTCCCATATCTTAACCAGCAACAGAGACAGATTATCTGATCATTATTAGATTAAGTTTGTGGGAGTTATTATGCAAACATTGGCTGCCACGTTTTCTACAGTACATCAATGACTACATTTCAAAAGTAAACCACTGACTGGATAGGACATCCTGAGTTTAGAACCCAAGTCCCTTTTCCTCCTCTTCCTAATGCTCAGAGAGCACCTTTTAGTAGTGCATAGTACCTCCTGAGAAATGTTGATAGAATAAATAAGGAGAAACTGTTTCATTTGGTGGGGGAGTTACCAACAGAAGACACAACTCGAAGACGATTGGCTAAAAAGCCTGAGGACAGATGAGTTTCTTTCACACTGTAAGTTGTGATGATCTGGGATGCACTGTCTGAAAAGGATAGTTGAAGCAGAATCAATGAAAATATTTCAAATGTGAATTAGCTAATTAAAGAATTGTAGGGAGCAAGCAGGGATAGGGGGAGGTGGTGCTGACTGAAGAACTGATTGAAAGAGTCAGCACATGTACAATGGTCAAATGGACTCCACTGTGTTGTGAAATTCTGATTCAGCCAAGTGACTTTCATCCATATCACATATGAATCTTGATATAGAGCATGACAAACCATCTTACTGCAATAAGAGAGGGAGAGCAAGAGGATTTTCAGTTAAATCTATCTTTGTTTTCACCCAATCTTCACATAAACATCCATCCAAAAGGGATGGAAAGTGATCAAAAGAAAGAATCTAATTTCTTCCCTCTGCATAGCAAGTGCACCAACCACTCTCTATCACCAGCACTATCACCAAGACTGATTAACACTGCACAAGAGTGAGACCAGCATCTCTCACCTTCCTGCTCTATATGTCTCAATTACTCAGGCGAGATGTACATTGTAATTGGTAAATTTGTTACTTCTATTTATGATAAGTACAGTGTTTCAGTCCAATAAATACTATGCCACTTACCTTGATTATAGTACACGTCTTTGAGCTGCAATGGAGTAAAATAATGCACAATGACATAGGAATTTTTATGAACAGTAATTAGTTCAAACAAGCCTACTGATCGGTCTCAAAGACCTTCCCTCAACTCCTAGACTGCGGAACACATCCACTCCAGAGATCTGAACACAAAATCATGGTTGACACTCAAATGTAGTATTGATGGTCTGTGGGTGCTGCCTTTAGATGCAATGTTAAACCAAGGCTGCATCACAAAAGCAAAATACTGGAAATCTGAAACAAAAACAGAAACAAACACAAAAAACAAGTTTTGAAACATTAACTTTGTTTCTTGCTCCACAGGTGCTGCCAGACCCAGAGTGTTTCAATAGTTTTAGTTTACACTCCATTGTCCCTCTTAGATGGACATAAAATAAACTCCCATGATAGTAGTTCAAAAAAGAGCAAAGATTTCTCCCCTTGACCTGGCATGTACTTATCCATCAACCAACACTGAAAACAGACTAACTATCTGCTATTTGTAAGAGTTTATTCCGGGTAAACTGATTGCAATGTGTCCTATATTCAGGGTAATTGATTGTTCAGAATAAACTTAAATAATGTTAGGACCATGTGAGGTAGCATTGAGACCAAGTCTGGGATAGGTGTCCCTCTTCTATGGTGAAGAACTCATGTCGTTTTAATTTTGAAACTGTGCTTTCTGTAGCACCTT